TTTAATAAGCAGAAGACAGCTCTGGAAATCTGCATAAAGTGAAAGGTTTTTAAAGGCAGAAAAGGGGCAACATACGGGAAGAGGGAATACTTTCAGGCTTAGGTAACCTACCTACGGGAAAAAGTGTGGCAGATTATCTCATCTTCTCTTGAGAGGGAAAAGTTACTTCACTATGCGGACCAGAAAATTCAATACTGACCAGTTAGGACTACATTCCTGGAGAGGTTGAAACCTCAGGGAGTTTGAAACCACAACTAGGTTAAGTATTAAGTCTTGGTGGGCTTAGCCCATATGGGGCCTGCCCTTCTCTTTCTAACCCCAAGATACTTCAAGAAAGAACCTTCACCTGGGTAGGGATTTTCCAGCTGGGGAGCTCTCTGGTCACCTAAAGAAGGAAGCTTATGGCAAAAACAGATTCCCATGGCTAAAAGTTCAAGACCTTACTCAGCACCAGCCTCTCTCAAGATTGCACACAATCTCTCTTCAGGCTTTTTTTTTTTAATATTTATTTATGCATACAAGAACTGGGGTACAGGCCAGAGGTGTGGGGGTGAGAGGATTCACCAGAGACAGAGTGGGGAACAGAACAGGCAGACTGACTGAAATCCACTGCTGAGGGGAGCAGCGGGCGAGCCAGGAGAGGTCTGCTGTGCCATGTGGGTAGCTCCCTGGCTGGGGATCAAAATTGTCCTGCAGTGGCTGCGGACAGCTTCATAGGTTGTGTCTTAACTCCTTGCGCCACCAGGAAGGTCCTCGTCAGGCTTTTTTCAGTTCATCACTTGGCTCAGACCACAGTCTCTAGTACCAATTTGCATCTCACTTTTCTTTCCTTGACTTTTTCTAACTCTTGCCCAATAACCTCAGAAATACCTTTTCCATTCCATCAATCCTTTCTTCATGTCATCTGTGTACACCCACATAACCCTAGCCACAGTGTTAGGGGGAAATGATGTCCTGAGCTAATTCCATACAGGCTTTGTGGACTCCACTCCCAGTCCAGACTAAAGCCATCAAGACATTGGGAAAGACAAATCCCATCACCACCAAAGGGAAGGTGGCTGGGACCTGAGGGTGGAGTTAAGCAGCCAGGTTGGGCATGAAAACCAAACACGTGGGCCTTGGGCTGGCTCGCTGTTGCTCGCCTCCTGGCTTCACGGCTCCTGGCTTGTTACAGTAAATGCCGTGAGTGATTCCCCTCCCTCGTATGAACAGTGCCTTCGGCTGCAAGCCAAGAGCCGTGAAGCCAGGAGGCGAGCAAAAGCGAGCAACAGCGAGCCAGCCCAAGGCCCACGTGTTTGGTTTTCATGCCCAACCTGGCTGCTTAACTCCACCCTCAGGTCCCAGCCACCTTCCCTTTGGTGGTGATGGGATTTGTCTTTCCCAATGTCTTGATGGCTTTAGTCTGGAGTGGGAGTGGAGTCCACAAAGCCTGTATGGGATTAGCTCAGGACATCATTTCCCCCTAACAATAGCTATTAAGCACAGAATAATGCCAACTAAATTCTTGCATCAAGGAAAAAAGGTATATCACAAGGTTTTGTTTTTTTTTTAAGATTTATTTTTATTATCTATTTATTTATTTATACAAGCACTGGGTACAGTCAGAAACACGGGAGGGTGAGAGAATTCACCAGAGCCAGAGAAGGGAGCAGAGCAGGCAGAAGGACCGAAGTACACTGCTGAGGGGAGCAGCGGGCGGCAGGAGAGGTCTGCACGCCATGTGGGACCCTCCTCCGGTGGCCGGGTAGCAGCTGGGGATCGAACCAGTGCTGCAGAGGCTGCGAGTAGCTTTGCAACCCAGCGCTCAACTGCTGCGCCACCGGGGAGACCCCGGGTATATCACAGGTTTGAAATTAGTCAGTGTCATTAAGCTATAGAGATCCTGGAAATGACCAGAATTCCATCTGGGTTTTCCACCAAAGTCCTTTATGCTCCTTCTGCCTTCCTGTATTAAATGTCACTCTCAGGCCTCCCTGTTGGCGCAGGCGGTTGAGCGCCACACTATGAAGCTGTCCACAGCCTCTGTAGCGATGGTTAGATCCCTGCCAGCCAGCAAGAATCCCAGATGGCGCAGCAGACCTCCCCTGTTTCGCCCACTGCTCCCCTCAGCAGTGTATTTTTCGTCAGTCTGCCTGTTCTGTTCCCCACTCTGTCTTGGTGAATCCTCTCACCCTCCCGCACATTGGCCTGTATCCCGGTTCTTATATAAATAAATAAATCTTTAAAAATAAATAAATAAATGTCACCCTCTAGAAGCCCAAATGAAGCATTTGTCCACTCAAGAGTGTCCCTGTTTGCCAGATACTATGTTAGGCACTGAATATGGAGAAGACATATGTGGTCCCTGTCCCCTTGGAGCTTTCAGTTTAATCAACCAACAAATGAAGGTTGGCAATTGAAACCATGTCCCCTCACACAGCTTATATTTAACCATGACTCTTCCACTCTCTTCACTGACAGAGCTAGTATTCCAAGAGACTTTTATCCAGCATCAGCTGGGGCCTCCCTAGTGGTACAAGGGGTTAAGACTCAGCACTATGAAGCTATCCACAGCCACTGCAGCGCGCGTTTGATTCCTGGCCAGGGAGGAGACCCACATGGCGCAGCAGAGCTCTCCTGACTCACCCGCTGCTTCCGTAAGCAGTGTATTTCAGTCAATCCATTTGTTCTGTTCCCCACTCTGTCTCTGGTGGATCCTCTCACCCCCCACATGTCTGGCCTGTACCCCAGTTCTTGTATGTATAAATAAATAAATCTTTTTTTAAAAAAAAAAGAAAGCATCAGCTGACATTTTGTAGCCTCAGGCTACTTGAACCCCCACCTCGAAATCATGCTATGTTCATTCTAAATGATTATACCTTGACCCTGTTTAATTACAACAATCCAATAGAGTTAATTTTCAGGATCTACCTGGCTTTATGAATCAGGCATACCATCTAGTAAGCAGAAAGTAGCTCAGAAAAACTTGCAAATATGAAAGGCAGGGCCTTCCTGGTGGCACAAGGGGTTAAGACGCAACCTAGGAAGCTATCCACAGCCACTGCAGCATAAGTTCGATCCCCGGACAAGGGGCTACCCACATGGCTCAGCAGACCTCTCCTGTTTCACCCTCTGCTCTCCTCAGAAGTGTATTTTACTCAATCTGCCTGTTCTGTTCCCCACTCTGTCTCTGGTGAATCTCTCACCACCACCACCCCCCTCCACTTCTGGCCTTACCCCAGTTCTTGTATGCATAAATAAATAAATCTTTAAAAAAAATGAAAGGCAGAAAGAATGAGATAAGGAAAGGGAGATAACTTCAGACTTAGGTAATTTACTGATGGGTTATAGGAAAGGTTATTTCATTGGTGCTGACCAAAGAATTCCATACTGACTGGATAAGATTACATTCCTGGGGGAGGTTGAAACCAGTTAGGTTATATACCAGGTCTTGTGGGCTTAGCTTAGGGCCTTTATTTTGGGACTGTCGTTTTCTGTGTAACAGCTCTTACCCAACTCTAATCAAGCCCTGCTCCTTCTCAAGCATTGAAAGAACTGCCTTAAACCAGGCTTCAAAGTCTCAATACATGGCATGGCCTTTCTTATCTCCCTGTGAGGCATTTTCAGACTGTCAAGGGCTAAGCAATAAATTCCGCTTTGCCTTATCAACAGGATGTTCTAGTGGTATTTGGGCATTTGTCAACATTTGACAGGTGCTGGGAAAACAGTAGTGGATGATGTCTTCACAGAGTTTACATTCTAGAGAGGGACAACAGACAGATAAGCCAGGAATGTGATTTTACATTCTACCATGTAGCTCGGGAGATAGGAGCCAAATACATCATTACAAATTGTGATGACTAAGAAATAAAGGGCACCAGAACAGAGAATAATCAGGGCCGTGGGGAGTCCTAATTGTGAACCACGATCTGGAAAACTCTTTGAAGTGATTTAAACTGGAGCTAGAAGTGGTCTGAGTGTTGCAAGTAAAGGGAATATGAGCTGTGGAGACCCAGAGAACCCTTCAGCAGGTTCCACAACAGAAAAGAAACCTCCCAAGCCTGGAGTGGGGGGTGGAGAGGCAGCAGAGGCAGCAGGCTGCAGGCCCTGCCCTGACTTACTCCTTAGTACAACTTTTCCCCTTTGAATTATTACTCTTGCAGCAAGATCGTTTCCTAAAACTTTTCACGACAAATAATGCAAGTGAACATTACAGGATAAACTTCTGAGGGTCTTACTCTGTACAAAAGTGTCTCCCTGGCAAAAAAGGGTCCAGCTGTTACCTAATTCATTCGAAGGGCTGGAGTGGCTCCACCTGAGGGGGACTGCGGTTTCCAGAGGAGAAGACTTGGGGAACACCCTCAGGGGGTGTGTTTGGCACAAGGCCGGGAGAGAGCTGCTCTCTTCAGCTATAGGACGCTCAAGTTTAAATCAACTAGCCAAGGATTTGCTGAAAAGGGTGAACGCAAGACCCCAGGCCAGCGACGTTCCTTGCAGGAGGCTCCAGCGGCTGGGAAAAAAACCCGAACTTTGACTGAGGGGGAGCAAGGGCAGCCTGGCGGTGGGTTACCTTGGTTCAGAGCGCTACATGATAATCCCGCCTAAGCCCCTGGAGAGAGTGTCCAGATCACCTACAGGACGAGACCTGCAGGAGTTCCCGGGATCTCGCCGTTTCATCACCCGCACCCAGGCCTGGGTGGAGTTTTGTGTTTTCGCTCCCTGTCTCGGGCCCTCCGCTCGGAGAACCCTCGGCTACACCCGGATCTCGGCCGGCTTCAAGTTCACACACCCGTCGCCGGCTGCCACCCGCCGCCGCGCCGCGCCTCTCCGCCCGAGCCGCCCAGCGCGCCCGAGCCGCGCGGCCGCAGGGCTGGCGCACCGCGCTCGGGCTCGGAGGTTGATCACACAAACAGTGTCCGGCTTCCTGTCCTCATCCCCCTCCCGCCGCGTTTCCCTTGCCCCTCCCTCTCCCCAGCCCGCTCCGCCCGCCCGTCCCCCTCCCCCGATCCCTCGGGTCCCGGGATGGGGGGCGGTGAGGCAGGCACAGCCCCCCGCCCCCATGGCCGCCCGTCGGAGCCAGAGGCGGAGGGGGCGCCGGGGGGAGCAGGGCACCGCCCTGCTGGCCCCGCTCGTGCTGGGCCTGGGCCTGGCGCTGGCCTGTCTTGGCCTCTTGCTGGCCGTGGTCAGCCTGGGGAACCGGGCATCGCTGTCTGCCCAGGTGAGGCCCTGCTGCGCACCCCTCCCTGGGCAGCTGAGGAGCAGAGTCTGCTGAGCAGCTGATGGGCCGGGTGGGCTGAGGGCAAGGGCCCAGGAATATGGGTGGAGGGTGAGAAGTCAGGTGGAGAAGGACTGGGTGACGCTGCCTCCTTCCCAGCAGGAGACTTCCCAGGGGGAGCTGGCTGCAGAGGAGGACCAGGACCTGCTGGTGAGTGGGTGTGGGTGCTGTCCGCAGGTTCCTGGGCATGGGAGGTGTGTGTGAGCTGAAGATGCAGGATCTGCTCTGCCTGTGCCAGCTGTGCGTGGGGGGTGTGTGTGCACCAGCCCAGCATGGGTATGTGTGAGAGAGACAGTGACAACTGTGTGTAAGGGTTTCATGTCACCTGAGCACAAACTGTTTATTTATTGGCTGTGGGCGAGTTGGGAATATGAGCTTCAGGAGCCTGCCATCGTGGAGGGATGCTGGTTGTGTGTGCAGGGTGTGTACCCATTGTGCATGCACGCTGGGTATGGGCACGCCCAGGGTGCCAATTGAGCACAGGGTCTGTGCTGGTCCTGTGTGTGCTGGGGAATATGGGAGGGGGGTGTGTGTGTGTGAAGATGTGGCTGGGCTCCAGGAGGGAGTGAAGACTGGGGCCTGTCCCCAGGACCTTGCCTCCTCCCCTTGGCCCCAAAGGCACTTGGCTGAGGAGCTCAGTCCCTCCCTAACAGATCTGTGCTAGTTGCTGACTGGTGCCTGTCCTGACACCCACCCTCCTGTCAGGTTCAGTCTCTGTCTCTGGGAATGCCTGGCAAGACCCTGGTCGAGCACTGCCCTTTATTCCCCTAGGGTCGGAATCTGCAGCCAGAGGAGAGCCAGGATCCCATGCCTTTTCTGAAACCACTGGCTCGGCCCCGCAGGAGTGGTGAGCATCCTTTGGTCCTGGGAATAATAGTGGCTGCTTTGTGGTGGCTTCTAGATTCATCATTGCTTTGTTCATCATCACAGCCCCTGAAGCAGGCAGAGCAAAAACCATTATCCTCATGTGTGAATAGAGAAAGTAAGGCACAGACCCTGTGCTCAGTTGGCATCCTGGGCAGCTGAGACGTGAATCTAAAATTCTCACCCTCCCTCTGATGCTCCTTCCATCATCTGGACCTGCTTCTCTCCTTAGTCCCTATCCCATATATGAAGGAGGGGTGGGCAGAAGTTAGGCGAACCCTTGAGGTCCTGATGGAGACGAGGTAGAAGAGTCAGAGGTCTCGGCTCCCATAAGCAAAAAGACTTATGAATAGGGTGACCATGTGACCACATACCCAGGTACGCATGGGATTGTCCTTGCTTACACCTGTTATCTCAGTGTGACTACTAATAGCACCTCTTATGCTGTTAGAAGTAGCCCTGTCAGTTTGGATGATCAATTATACAGTCACTCCACTTATGGAGGAGGGCCTGAGAACCTCAGGCCTGGAATCTGGACAAGAATAAAGATGTCAGGATTCTGAAGGGAATAGGACTGGGGAAGTGGCTTCTGGATCTCCAGATGTGTGGAGGGCTGCTTTGCCCATCTGTGTTTCCTTGATCCTCAGCATCTAAAGGCCGGAAACCACGGGCTCGCAGAGTGATTGCAGCCCACTATGAAGGTGGGTGATGGGTGAGTCGTGCCCAGGGAGGAGAGGGACAGAGGGGCAGGGCAGGTCTCACCAATGCATTCCTGTGTCTTACAGTTCATCCCCGGCCAGGACAGGATGGAGCGCAGGCGGGTGAGACCCCAACCCCATCTCTGAGCTCTCCCCTTACCCTCACAGCATTAGCTTTCTGGAAAAGAAGCCCCTCAAAATCTTTGCTTTCTCACCCCCCTCCCCACCTTCAGCCTTGGAACCCTGAAGCCAATTCATGAAAGTCTTCAGGACTTGGTTCTCTCAATTCCCAAACCTGTATTTTATGACCCAGGCATGGGACCAAGGAAGACTTCTACCTCTTTCTAGAACTCAGGAAGAACCAGCACACCCACCCCTGACCAAACACAAGCCCCTGCTTCTCCTCAGTCCTCACTGTGCCCAAGAAGTCCCTTTGAGTCCTTTCTTTTCTTCCTCTTCCTATTCATTGCTCTCATCATTTCCCCCAAAATGTTTTGAGTCTTTGCACTTCTTTTCCATCCCTACACCACCCCCACCTCAGCTCTGTACTATACTGACACTTCAGTACCTCAAACCCAGCCTCCAGCCCTTTCCCCATTCCAAATTCTTCCCATCCCCTGCTCTGTCCCACAATTTTGCCAAGCTAAGCTCCCCTAAACCTCATTTTCCTTATTCTGTTGCTTCCAGTTTCTCCATGGCCCAGTTGAAACCTCTCTTCCCTGCCCACTCTGTGCATTCTCTGCACTTGTTGGGTTGATACTCCTCCCTGCCAGTGTGCCTCTTCTGGACTTTGCATATACGGTTCCCTCATCTGGAATGTCCTTCCCTGTGACAAGCCAGGAAGCAAGACATGAGGGTGACATGGTCTAAGAGGTTGGCAGGCAAGGTGGAGAAAATAGATGGATTCAGCGTATGGCCTGGAGATAAGGCTTGCTTGTGGGTCGGATGTGCCAGATAAGGGAAAGGGAAGAATCAGAAAAGACTTCTCAGTTTTTAACTTGGGCATCTTTGGGAAAAAGATGTTGTTTACTAAGATGGGGTCGACCAAGGAAGAAATAGGAAGGTATGTAAATTAATAATTAGATTTGAGATCTAATAATAAACAAGTGAATAAATAATAATAAACAAGTGAGTTCCATGAATAGATGGCCAGGTCAGTAGACATCGTAGAGTAGGTCAGGTGAGGGCAGGAGGTATGAAGTCAGGATGGTATCTAGAGTTACAGGACTGGATGACATGCCAGGGGAAAGAAGAGCCGAGAGCTCCTGGACATGTGGAAGTGGAGCAGAGAGGGGAAGAAACAGGGTGTGTGTATGTGGAGGGGGTAGTGTACTGGAGTCTAACGAAAGGCAGTTTCAAGGAGGATGTGGCGGTCTCAGTTGACTGTGGCTCAGGGGTCACATGAGATGAGAACAGAGAAATAACCAGTGGATTTGGTAACTTTTTTTTTAAGATTTATTTATTTATGCATACAAGAACTGGAGTGTTGGCCAGAGGCATGGGGATGGGGGTGACAGGATTCACCAGAGATAGAGTGGGGAGCAGAACAGGCAGATCGACTGAAATACACTGCTGAGGGGAGCAGCGGGCGGGCGAGACAGGAGAGGTCTGCTGCGCCATGTGGGTAGCTCCCAGGCGGGTTGGCCAGGGATTGAACTCCTGCTACAGAGGCTGCAGATAGCTTCACAGTGCTGTGGTTAACCCTTGCACCACCAGGGAGATCCCAGGTTTATTAACATTTAAAGTCTACTAGTGACCTTGGTTTCAGTGGTATTTAGCATGGAAGCCAATGTGGATTGGTTAAAGAGAAAACAGGAATTGACAGTTTTCCCGAGGTTACTCTGTACCATAGCAGAGAAATGAGCCCATAGGTGAAGAGGGAAGAATTCTTCAAACTGACCAGTCCTCACGGTTTCTTTGACCCTCTTCCACGGGATGGAACTTTTTGTCCCTTCTACCTTCTTGCTTGTTGCCCTGCAGGCTCAAGGAAAAGTTCAGTTCTTTTAATGGTAAGTAATAATCTATGAATCTTGGCTAAGTTCTGAGTTCTAAAAGAAACATACTCTGATCATCTCCATTTTACAGATGGAAGTCACTTGTCCCGAGATCATGACAATATTAAATGGTGGAGCCAGGATTGGAACCCAGTTTATGTGCTTGTGTAATGGACATGGTCTGTGTAACAGGAGAATGTTGGTGCAGGGGTAGGAGGAGACTGCAGGGCAACAAGCAAGAAGGTAGAAGGGACAAAAAGTTCCACCCATCCGTGGAAGAGGGTCAAAGAAACCGTGAGGATTGGTCAGTTTGTAGAATAGGTTGAGGGAGATGAGGGGCCCATTGTCTAGGTCCTCTGGAGAACTAAAAACTTGGGCGGGAAGTTCGAGGAGAGGGGATACAAAATCCCTATCTTCGTGAGTGCACAAGCAAGCTTAGTGGGGAAAATAGGATTGCCAGACAGTAAGGAATGTCCATTTGAGGTTTGTGGCTATGAAACCGAGTGATATCAGACAACCTTCCATTGTTCCAGGTAGGCCATGCCCTTTGGTCACGACCAGCCTTTGCTCAAGCTGGTTCTGTAGCTAGGAATGCCCTCGCTCCTCTCTTCTTACTCTTTATACAGCAGACCTGCCTTCCTCCCTTGTATATGGACCACTCACTCTAGCAGTTACTGAGACATTCATTTATTCACTCAACAAACATGCAAACAAACCTATTATCTATAAAGACCAGGCCAGGTGCCCACAGTGAATAATACCCAGATTTGTTCTCAAGGAATTAGTGTCTAAGAGAGGAGACAAGCATATAAATTTGTAAATTACAGTATACCATGACAAGAACAATAATGAAAATAGCCAGAGGTCCATGGTGGCAAAGAGGAAGACAATTTCATATGGAGTCGGGGACTCCTTCCCAAGAAGGCGTGGCTTCCCTGGGCCTTGAGGCACAAGTATAAGATGGATAAGGATTCAGGTAGAAGGAATCACTTGTGCAAAAGATCTGGGTTTGCCAAGTCTGATGGAGCCTGGGGGACCCAGAGAAGCTCACTATGGCTCAAGGATAAAGTGCTAGAGGAGCAGGATGGGAATGGAGAAGAATATGGATGCCAGGTCACATGGAGTCTGGAAGTTATTCTGAGCTCAAAGCAGGAGAAGCAGGATCACATCTGCATTTTAGAAACATCGCTATGTGGCTGTGTATAGGAAATAAACTGGAACAGGCAAGATTGGAAACAGGAAGTCCAATGAGGAAGGAGGCCAAGAGGCGTGCTAGTGAGAAAATGGCAGAGGCTAGCCTGGAAGGGAGACAGAATGAGCTATTTAGGTGATAGAATTGTTAGGAATTGGTGATCAGTGAATAAGGTTGGGTCGAGGAGAGGGAGGCTGGGGTACCCAATAGGAGGTAGAACCTTGAGTGGAATGTGGACTACAAGTAGCAAAGTAAGTTTGGGGTGTGGGCCAAGCTCAGTTCTGGTCTAGATGAGTCTGATGTGCGCCAGGCTGTTCTGATGGTGGCAGTCAGGGTGAGGAGGGGCAGGAAACACCAAGGCCAGCGACTCAAATGGCAGTCTGCAGGGTGTCAGCTGTGGTGCTCATAGGTGGGAATAAAAATGCCCAGCCAACATTACATTTTCCTGGGAAAATACCAAGGACAGAGTCCTGGGGCTGGCAGAAGATGGGGGGCTGGTGCAGGCATCTTCTTGGGTGCATCAAGCGGTGGGAGACAGAAATAAACAAGATGATCTTCCATGTTGGTGACTGCTGTGAAGGAAAAAGGGCTACATGAAGAGATTAAGGGAAGTGGGGCTGGGAGTGGGTGACCAGTGAAGGTCTCTCTGATGTGTTGAGCCCTGACTGAGAGAAGGTGCCAGGTGGGGAGGAATCCCCAGGAGTATTCTGGGAAAAATCAGTAAAGAGCCTGCAGGGACAATGGACTTCAAGTGTGGCAGGAACAGAAAGAAGGCCAGAGTGCTGGAGGCTTTAGAACTGGAGGAGCGTGCGAGATCAGAATGAAGTAGACTGGGCCTGGTCCTTGGAGGACCTGGGAAGTCACTTGATCCTGTGCTCTGTCATTCTATTGTTTATCTTCTTTGCAATGTGCAATTACTTGAACGCAAGCGTGCTCTTTTTTTTTTTTTTTTTTTTATTTTGTAATGGCTTTATTCACAGACACTTAACATACCATACAATTTGCCCATGGTTTTCCCTATAGTCACAGAACTGTGCAGCTAACTCTATGGTAATTTTCAGCACCTCAAAAGAAAAAAAAAACTCTGTAGTCTAGTTACTACCCCCACCTCCCTAAGAAGTAACCACAAGTCCACTTCCTTTCTCTATTTGCTTATGTGAACATTTCATAAAAATCCTATCCTGTGGGGTCCTTTGTGTGTTTTTTTTTTTCATACTTCTCATTATTCCCTACTTTATTTTTTTAAATAAATTTTATTTTTATATTCCCCATACAATTGCAACCCCCCCATTCTGACCCCAATCCCTCCCCTCCCGCCCCCCACCCCCAAAAAGTGTCTCTGGTTCATAGTTTTTTGTTGATTTTGATTTTCACTTTCTTATAGTTATTCATTTTCCTGGTCCCTTATTTAAGTTTTCTAGATTCCTGCTATGAGTGAGACCATCCGGTATAAAAATATGGAACGCTTCACGAATTTGCGTGTCATCCTTGCGCGGGGTCATGCTAATCTTCTCTGTATCGTTCCAATTTTAGTATATGTGCTGCCGAAGCGAGCACCCGTGGGGTCCTTTGTGACTGGCTTCTTTCACTTACGTGTTTTCACGGCTCATCCACCTCGGGAATGTGTGTCCGTACTTGCTTTCTCTTTGTGGCTGAAACAGTATCCCACTGTGTACACATACCACACCGCCTTTATCTAGTCATCACTTGATGGACGTTGGGGTTCCATTTTATTCTTTTTAGTTTTAATAGTTCAAGTAACATGATTCAGGGAGTGCATGTATACATTCTTGGAGTAAAAGAGACAAACAATACAGACACAAAATAAAAACGCTCCCATGCTTCTTCGATCCTGCTCTTCTCCGTAGAAGTGAGTGGCAACAACTGGCTCTGTATGTTCTGGTCATACGTGCCGCATCTGGCCATACATTTCTTCACTTAATTTCCTATCACCCTCTGGGCTCCAGCGGGCATGGTTCCACCCTTGCCCTAGGCCATCTGTATATCTTCCGGATAAGGTGGGTCCCAGAGGTTTATCAGCTCAATGGGTCACAGGGAGCGTGAGGGAGTCCGGTAAAGGGACTTTCCCCTCTCCCTCTGAATATCCACATTCAGGTGTGGACGGGACGGTGAGTGGCTGGGAGGAGACCAAAATCAACAGTTCCAATCCACTGCGCTATGACCGCCAGAGCGGGGAATTTGTAGTCACCCGGCCTGGGCTCTACTACCTGTACTGTCAGGTAAGCCACACCTGGGTCCCTGGGTGAAGCGGGACCTGAGGGAGGAGAAGTGTTTGGTTTAGGGGGGTGGGAGCGAGCTAAAGGCTGGAGAGGGGGAGCTTGGGGTTTGGGCTGGGTAGAATACCTGGGTCTTCTAAGGAAATTTGAACTTGAGACAGGCAAGCAGAGGCCTGGACCCTTTCCACTCGCCCCCACTCCCCAGGTGCACTTTGATGAGGGGAAGGCTGTCTACCTGAAGCTGGACTTGCTGGTGGATGACACGCTGGCCCTGCGCTGCCTGGAAGAGTTCTCAGCCACAGCGGCCAGCTCTCTGGGACCCCAGCTCAGGCTCTGCCAGGTGTCCGGGCTGTTGCCCCTGCGGCCAGGGTCCTCCCTGAAGATCCGCACCCTCCCCTGGGCCCATCTCAAGGCTGCCCCCTTTCTCACCTACTTCGGACTCTTTCAAGTTCACTGAGGGGCCCTGGTCTCTTGCTGGCTACCCAGGCTGACAACTCCCCACAACAGCTCTCCAGCACCCTAGTCCCCTCTGCTCAACCCTGAGTTGCTGCTCCTCCCCAGACCTGCCTCTCCATCTGTAGGCTGCCAGGGCTTCTTCATGCCACATACATATCCCCATTCTTCTCTGATAACTCCCCCACTTCTGACTCACTAGCTCCCAAACCCCTGATCTTTTGACACCCCCATTTATCGCCCAACTCCCCACTCTGGCCACAGCCCGCCCCCCGGACACTGTGTTTACTGTATTGTGGGTGGGGATGGGTCCTGAATACTCCTCTTCAGGCACTAAGAGGGACTGGATGCCAGAAACTGGGACTAGGCCAGGAGTTCCCGAATGTGAGGGGTAAGCAACTAAGACAAGCTCCTCCCCTGATAATTCCCTGTGGATTTTAAAAAGATATTATTTTTATTATTTTTGTGACAAAATGTTGATAAGTGGATATTAAAGAGAATAAGTCATTGTCTCTCTGTTTATTGGGGCTTAGGGGACATTCTCAGCATAGCTGAGGGTCACAAGAAGGGAGTCTGGGAATTGAGAAGTGGGGTACAGGATATCTGGAATTCCAGGGTGACCTACAGGCTTGGGAATGGGAACCTACATGCCTCCTGTTGCCCCCTTCAACCTTAAGGTGCACGCAGAGTGGAAAGGCAAATTGCCAGGAAAAAAAAAAAAAATCAATCCTCTGCCCAAGGTCCAGTAGAAGCAGCTCATTTACCTAGGAGGCAGGCTTCCTCCTGTGGGGAATCCCTGGCTGGGAGGAGGAGGGGCCCTTCCGCTTGGCAGCTTCGGGACATTCAGCAGGTGCTGCACAAGCTCTGACTAGGATGGGGGGTGGGAGCAGGCCTGGAGGGGGGCTCAGGGTCAGTAAAAAGGACTTCAGGGCCCAGAAACATGGAAACTTGGGTCCCTGAGTCCAGGGGAGAAATCCTACAGAGGTAGGGTGCTTGGGGCTGTCTCTTTCTCTCTTTGTCCAGAGTCTTATGTAAGTGCTTTTCTCGGGAAACAGGAAGTCTTGCTTGCCAAGTTCAGCACAGGGAGTAGTGCAGGCCTTATTCCAACACACCCGGCCTGGCCTTAACCTCAGAGCAGTTTCTTGCTTCCTCGACCCTGGCTCTCCTCCCCACCGACCCCCCGCTTCCTTTCCTACCCTCGGTCACTCTTAGCAAACTTCCCCAGTGATCTCTCTCCCTGGCTGGAGCCAGAGGGTCTTCTACCCTCATCCCTTGACGCTCAACACCATCCTGCTTGTCTCTCCATCCCTGTTCCTGGCACTATACCCCAGAGCCAGCCAACCTTCCCTCCCCCACTTCTGGGGCCGCCCCAGGGTTCTTGTGCTCTGGCCGCTCCTTCTGGGTGTCACTGGAAGCTCTGTCCTTCCTAGAGAGACTGACATCAAATCCTCTAGAGGTTGGAAGAAGGGGTGTGCGTGTGTGTGTGTACGGGGAGGGGGGAGCTTGAGACAACACTGGTCCCAGAACAGGGTGCCAGGAGCACCCTCAGTGCCCCTAGCTTGCCTTTCTCCTCTCTCTTTTTATTCTCAAGTTCCTTTTTATTTCTCCCTTGCGTAACACCCTTCTTCCCTTCTGTACCACTGCCTGCGCCCCCACACTCCCTATCACCTTGCCATCCTGAGGCCACACTCCTGAGGCCACAGCAACTGGCAGGGTCTTCAGCTCATGCCAGCCTCACCTCCTTCCTTGCTAGTCCCTAAAGGGACCCCGGGAGACATGGGGGCCCCGGTCCGGGAGCCAGCACTCTCAGTTGCCCTCTGGTTGAGTTGGGGGGCAGCTTTGGGGGCTGTGGCTTGTGCCATGGCTCTGCTGACCCAACAAACAGAGCTGCAAACCTTAAGGAAAGAGGTGATCCGGCTGCAGAGGACTGGCAGGCCCTCGGAGATGGGGGAAGGGTATACATGGCCGAGCCTCCAGGAGCAGGTGAGTAGAGAAGGGTGTTTGGGAGAGAAGGATGGGTGGCAGGGTGGTCTCTGGGCCTCTGGGTTCTAGCTTCCTGATCTGCAAAGTTTCAAATGGGTGCAAGAGAGGGTCCCGGGTTTGGAGGTCAAGGGAGCAGCCATTTCAGGAAAGGAAATTGTTAAAGATTAATGCTTCTGAAGCCTAACAGTTCCTGGAGAAGCGCCAGCACCAAGACTCCGGTTGCTGGGGAAAGGTGTATGAGAGATGGGAGGCATTGCTGGGGCAGGGGTTAGGGGAGGAATGAGAAGAGAGGCTGTCGGGACCCTTGCATCTTAGTCTAACTCTGACCCTCTTTCCACAAGCAGAGCTCTGATGCCCTGGAAGCCTGGGAAAATGGGGAGAGATCCCGAAGAAGGAGAGCAGTGCTCACCCATAAACAGAAGAGTGAGGCTTCAGGGGTGCAGCAGGGGTGGGAGGTGATCAAGCAGCATAGCAACTTGGAGATTGTTGCCCTGAGCCAGGGGGAGGGTGGAGGGCTGACACCAGGGCAACTGGGGTAGCTGAGCACTGCTGAGATTTCCTCCTTCTCTCCTCAGAGAAGCACTCAGTTCTGCACCTTGTTCCTATTAACATCACCTCCAAGGGTGAGCACGATTTTATATGATGGCTTTTTGGGAGGGACAAGATCTGGGAATTTTGGGGCTGGCAGCTGGACCCAAAAGATTCTTAGGTGAAGTGTCTAAGTGCACTGAAATCCTCACTACTATACTCCTCACCTCCAGAGGACCTGGATGTGACAGAGGTGATGTGGCAACCAGCTCTCAGGCATGGGAGAGGCCTGGAGGCCCAAGGATATGTTGTTCGAGTCTGTGATGCTGGAATTTATCTGCTGTACAGCCAGGTAACCTGAAATATGGGAGCCCAGAAGCTTATTTTCTTAGATGCTGTATGCCTGGTACCTAGGGTTCCTAATCCTCCTGTTCATACCAAACTTAGAAGACCCTTGTTTCCTTGGCTCCCATCTCTGGGGTCCTGAGGCCTCCCAGAATTGAGCCATGCCATTCTGCTTTCTTCAACATCTCCTCCCTTCCCTGCCAGGTCCTGTTTCATGATGTGACTTTCACCATGGGTCAGGTGGTGTCTCGAGAGGGCCAGGGAAGGCAGGAGACGCTATTCCGATGTATACGAAGTATGCCCTCCAATCCAGACTGGGCCTACAATACCTGCTACAGTGCAGGTGAGAGTCATGTGGGCAGACAGGGAGGACATCTCTGAGCTGGGGGCAGTGGTGAAGGCACTACCACAGCAGGTTGGAGACCTGGGCATAAAGGCAGAGCTGAGGAATGAAGACCAGAATACCTAGGTACTTTCAGGAAGCAGAAGGTTGAGCTGGAGAAGAGAGGGTGAGACATCAGGGTATCTGCATCACTGTGCTTCACTGAGCATTAATTTTCTCCCTTTTCTCAGGTGTCTTCTATTTACATCAAGGGGATATTCTGAGTGTGGTAATCCCCCGGGCGAGGGCAAAACTTAGTCTTTCTCCACATGGAACCTTTCTGGGGTTTGTGAAACTGTGATTGTGTTATAAAAGGTGGTTCTGAGCGTGAAAACAGCCAAGAGCTGACTAGACAAAGGATAGGGAATGGGTTTGACTGGAACCTAGGATTTGCCAGGTTCTGACTCTGTTCCTCCCCTTTCCCATTCCACCCCTGCCCCTAGCCTTTGATTTCATTTATATTAAAGAGGTAGAATATCTTGCTTTTGCTCCCTGTCCAGCCCCAAATTCCTAGGGAAGTGAGGAAGGAATGCCAGGCATTGTCTCCATGTGCTTTGGGTCTCCCTGGAATGCTTCCAGAACAGCACTACCATCTAGCGGCAGTTTGAGAGAATCATCCTGCCTACAGGCCTAAGTCCTCCAGGCCTCCCCCTCCTCTCAGGGAATTTCTGGTTCCCTATGCCTCACCTTTCTCCAGGTACCCATCTGCCCCCCCCCCCCAAAAAAAAGGCCTCATCCTCATTTCCTTCTTTCACCTAATGAGCCCCAGTTTTCATCACTATCTCCAGAAGTGTATTTATTATGGCCCCGTCTGCAGGGGGTGTCCAACGAGACGACGGTCCCTTTGCAGTCAGTCACATTACACTTCGGGTTCGAAGTTTTGCCTTTCTTGCTCTGCACCCCTTGGCATGGCAGGCACTCTAAGTCCCTCAAGGTTGGGACGCATCGCCGGGGAGCCTTGGAGGAATCGGACTGGTGTTGATCCTGCCTCACTCCGCACCTCTCTACTCAAGCCCTGCTTAAAGTTAAATAAAAAGGAGAACAAATGATACCTTGGATCCATTTCCCCATTTCCTGGCCTCAGCCCCTTCCCTGTACCGGAATCTCCCTGACCTTCGGCTCTCATCGGCGCGCTCCACTAGATCAAGGGATCACGATCCCGGGTTCCAGCCCGCGAGCGCGGAGAAAGTAAGGGCGACGCAGTGGGGTGTGAAGTGGCCCGCGACAAGCAAGCGCAAAAGGGTGGGTGGCCCGCCGAGTATGGGCTAGCGGGCGCGCGCAAGCGCAGACCTGCGTGGTAGTGGGGGGCGGGACGGTCCCTTGGCGTCTACGTTCTTGGGTGGGTGGGACTAGGCGCGTGTGGCTGCGCGGCGCTGTTCGCCGGGTGTGACGCACTAATAGTGCGCCGCCACCGCCGGTGGGCCTGGGGCTCGCGGGAGGGGAAGAGGAGGAGGAGGTGGTGGAGGAGGAGGAGGAGGAGGAGGAGGAGGAGGAGGTGGTGGTGGGGGGAGGTGGTGGAGGTGGAGGCTGAAGCAGAGCAAGAGGCGGCCTCGGTGGGGCGGCTCAGCGGCGCGGCGCGCGGCCCAGAAGCTTTGAAATCCTGAATTGATACAGCTGCGCCTGAAGACAGCAGGAGTGGCGGGGCCGCCGTCGTCGCCGGAGAGATGAGCCGGGAAGCCTGAGGCCGGAGACGCCCGCCCTCGGGCCCGTCCGCCCGGCTTCCCAGCTCCCGGTGAGGACGCCCCTTCCCCTCCCCCCAGCCCTGCCGCGGCCTCTCCCGTTTCTGTATCTCATTCCCACCTAGCTAGGGTCCAGGAGGCCCTCGAAGAGGCTTCATAATCCTAAGGCCGGTGTTCGCGGAGCTTGCCCAGCCTGTAGGACCATACCGGTGCCGGGACACATTCTAGTCCCTGGGGACAGAGCGTGAGAGGGGGCTGGGCCCGCTTGTCTCGCGCGGCGCAGTTCTGTCCCAAAGCCTGATTCACCTGGATAAACCCGGAGTCAGTTTCCTTTCAGTTTTCTTCAAAATCCGTGCCTCTCATCAAATTTTACTCGCTGTTCTGCTATCCCATTACCTCCTGGGACGACCTGAGCATGCCCACAGCTCCCATTCATTCCAGGGTGGTAGAGAACACTCTTCCCACTCTAAACCACGGTTTCCATCTGGAAGTTCTGTCCACCTCAGGTATTGAGTCAGTATTGACGTGCTGAGCCATGTCCCCTATTAGGCTCTCAATTAGGACAGCCCTAGTGGTACTAAACAGAGAAACAGAGCCTTTAAATACTGGGTTTAACCTGGGGATCTAAGGAAAAACATCCCTGAGGCCTGCTGCTTAGCCATTTTTCCTTGCCTCTTTCAGGGCAGGGAAGAGATGATGGCATGGACTGTGGAGTGTAGAGGGCCCCTTATTTTCAGTTTTGGTTTTTTTCCTTTCATTAGTAATTTGTATGTGACTCCAGGGGAGGAATACTGAAGAAGAAGCAGGATCTGAAGTACAGGATGATTGGATTCTGATACTCTAAACTTTTGTTTTACAGGCGACTGGAAGATGAAAGAGACTTTACAAGGGACCGGGTCTTGGGGGCCTGAGCCTTCTGGACCGGGTATAGCCCCAGTTTATTCAAGCCCCAGGCGAGAACGTCTTCGATGGCCCCCACCCCCCAAGCCCCGACTCAAATCTGGTGGAGGGTTTGGGCCAGATCCTGGGTCAGGGACCACAGTGCCAGCCAGACGCCTCCCTGTCCCTCGGCCCTCTTTTGATGCTTCAGCTAGTGAAGAGGAGGAAGAAGAAGAGGAGGAGGAGGATGAAGATGAGGAAGAGGAAGTGGCAGCTTGGAGGCTGCCTCCCAGATGGGGTCAGCTGGGGACCTCCCAGCGGTCTCGCCCACCTCGCTCTACTCATCGAAAAGCCTGCTCACAGCGTCGCCGCAGAGCTATGAGAGCCTTCCAAATGCTGCTCTACTCAAAAAGCACCTCGCTGACATTCCACTGGAAGCTTTGGGGGCGCCACCGGGGCCGGCGGCGGGGCCTTACACACCCCAAGAACCATCTTTCACCCCAGGAAGGGGGTGCGACACCACAGGTGCCATCCCCATGCTGTCGTTTTGACTCCCCCCGGGGGCCACCTCCGCCCCGGCTGGGTCTGCTAGGTGCTCTCATGGCTGAGGATGGGGTGAGAGGGTCTCCACCAGTGCCCTCTGGGCCCCCCATGGAGGAAGATGGATTAAGATGGACTCCAAAGTCTCCTCTGGACACTGATTCGGGTAAGATGGGAAGGGAGCACAGGAGAAGTTGGAGAGGCAAAGATCCTGGAACACCAGAAGCTTCTTGCTGAGGTGTGAACTGGGCCTGACAAAAGTAGAATGGCAGAGTTGGGGGAGGAGGAGCAGAATAACCCCACTTTGAGCAGGAATTAAACCTGGGAAGTCAAGGCTGGGACGTAGAACCCCTAAGTAGGTATCCTGTGTGAAGATGAGAAAGGAGGACATGATTCAGAAACATCACTTTTGTCCATTTGAAATTCCTCTTTGGCTTTAGGATAAGGGCCCCTGTATGTACATCTCCAGAGAGTGCCATTCTTAAAGTATTGGGATGGCATCTTCCTGAGTAGTGGAATATATTACCTATGTGGTTGTGTGTAACATTCTCACTTAGAGTGTTTTTTTTTGCAGAGAACCCCAACTAAATTTCAGGCTGTTTTATGACTATGTTATTTGAGTATTTATTGAGCCTTTGGTGATATGCCAGGTATTGTGGTAGGTGCTAGGCAAATAGTGGTGACAGATAACTCTGAAATTTCCCTCTCTGAAAACTATTCTTGCTTTCTTGTCTGAGTAGGAATGTTTCCTTTATGTCCCTTTACAACCTTTTAGACACGCCTATCTCCTGCTTTGTGGTCTTTGTTCCTTAGCATTTAAATTGGTAGATTCTGCTCAACTCACTCTTGTGGTCTTTTAATTTGTGTGGATCATATGATCCTCCCATTGTCCTTTGGCGTGAGTCAATTTCTGATCTCCATGCCCTGTTTCTCCTGCCCTACAGGCCTCCTCTCGTGTACTCTTCCCAATGGCTTTGGGGGACCACCTGGTCCTGAAGGGGAGCGCAGTCTGGCACCCCCTGATGCCAGCATCCTCATCAGCAATGTGTGTAGCATCGGGGACCATGTGGCCCAGGAACTTTTTCAAGGCTCAGATTTGGGCACTACAGAGGAGGCAGAGCGGCCTGGGGAGAAAGCAGGCCAGCACAGCCCCCTGCGGGAGGAACATGTGACCTGCGTGCAGAGTAAGGAACCCTAGAGGACCTGGTCTCTTACCGCTGATTCCTAGACCAGAGTCTGGAGGCCTCACCCCACTGCTCTCTCCTTCCACTCAGGCATTTTGGATGAATTCCTTCAAACTTATGGCAGCCTCATCCCCCTCAGCACTGATGAGGTAGTAGAGAAATTGGAGGACATTTTCCAGCAGGAGTTCTCTACGCCTTCCAGGTGAGGCATGAAAGAAGTGCCCTTCAAAAGAGGACTGGGAACTGGGGGATGGGAAGAGAATGCTGCTGCCTTTTTTCCCATAGGGATGTACTTGGGGAGAAGGAGGAAGCTAGAGCTGAAGGGGAGGAGTCTGCAAGGCAAGGTGCCAACACCCCCTGTAAGCTGACTGGGTGGGTCTTTACCTGGGACCCTGAAATACTATGTGTACTGGAGTATTCATGTGTCTCTTTTTGGGGAGTTGGCCACTAGCAGATCCACAAAAGGACCATGACCAAAAAAAAAAAAAAAAAATCCCAAAACCAAAAAATGGGTCAGTTTAGACTCTTACTTTAGGTGCAGTAGATGGTGCTTCTGTGTGCCCTACCCCTTTGTCTCTTCTGTGACTCCATTCTTGCCTACTCAGGAAGGGCCTTGTGCTGCAGCTGATTCAGTCATACCAACGGATGCCAGGCAATGCCATGGTGAGGGGTTTCCGAGTGGCCTATAAGCGGCATGTGCTGACCATGGATGACTTGGGGACCTTGTATGGACAGAACTGGCTGAATGACCAGGTGAGAAGGGGTAGAGAAACAGTCCCAAAGGGGATTCAGGGAGCAGGGTGTCTGGGGCCCTCTGCATGGGGGAGCCCTGTACCCATGCTGCACCCTCCATGGCAAGTTGCCTCCAATCTTCTCCGCAGGTGATGAACATGTATGGAGACCTGGTTATGGACACAGTCCCTGAAAAGGTAGGCCTAACCAGGTACTTCAGAGCCCAGAAGAACTTCAGTGCTAAGAGCAGCTTTTTCAATCCCTTTCATCTCTTCCATTTTACATAAGATGGGTCTCTGTTTTGGGGGGAGAAGTGGTAGATGGTAGGTAATCTGGTAAATTTCAACCTGTAATCTTGGTCCTGAATTTATCAATTTTGTTCCTTTCCTCTAGTCTTTAGTGTTCTTCCCCTATGGCCAACCCCACAAATTAGGATGGTAGGCTGTAAAATAAGATTAAAAACAATTTTTTTTTTTAAGCCCTCAGTGAATCAAGTAGATGTTGTTGAAACCAGTCCTTCCAGTCATAATTAAATGAAGTAGATTGGGGAGGGGGTATTTAGTAGGAAGGCCTGATGTCTTTAATTCCATCCAGCTCTTTTGTATCATTGGCACAGGTGCATTTCTTCAACAGTTTCTTCTATGATAAACTCCGTACCAAGGGTTATGATGGGGTGAAAAGGTGGACCAAAAATGTGAGTTATAAATTCACATCTACCTTTAACAAATTAGTTTTTTCTGAGTCCTTTCCCCAGTCCTGTTCACTCAAAGCCTTCAGATGCTTATTAAATGTCTTTTGTGTGCTAGAATATAGTATTAAATGCTATATAATATTAAATTCTTTTTGTGTGCTAGGATATAGTATTAAATAAGGAAAAGTTACTGCCCTTGTGGAGTGAGAATAACTAAGAGTCTAATTTCAACTAGTGGTCTGTGAAGGCCTCTCTGAGCTGGGACTTGTATACCGAGGAGCCAGCCAGGTGCAGAAGGGCTGTTGGAGGACTGTTTTAGGCAAAGGAACTAGCAAGCACATGGGATATAAAGTGAGAAAGAACGTGTTTGAGGAACAAGGGGTCCATGTGGGTGGTTTCTGTGTTTGGAGCAGAGTAAGCTGGGAAAAATGATGAAAATTTGATCAGATAGTGTAAGGCATGGAGGGTAGGCTGATGAAAATAAAATTATCTTACTCTGTGTACTGAGAAGCCATTGAAGAGTTTTAAGCAGACTCAGAATCACCTCCTGTTTTAAACTCCAATTTCAACGAGAGGTTGGGATGGAGGTAAGAGTGGAAGTCGGCAACTAACTGGGATAGTAACACAGATGTTCAGATGAGAAACTTGGATCTGAGTGGTAAGGCAGAATAGAAGTGATTTTAGCTAAGATAAGTTTTGCAAGTAGATCCAACCAGTAGGGCTTTCCACCTGATTGGGTGTGGGAAATGAAGAAAAGAGGAATTGAGAACGAAATCAAGGTTTTGGCTTATTTTGGGGGTAAATAAGGATGGGGGATGGGAGAAGCAGGATTAATGAGGAAAAAGTTATTTTCTCTCTGCCTCATCCCAATTCAAAAACCTGGACATTTCTACAGTGAGGGGGAGACATTGATTTTAGCACATCTTAATTTCTGTACCCAGATTCAAGAGTATATATCCTGAGGGACCTGGCTGGCTGGCTTTTCCCAGTAGAGGCAGGATGACAGACCCTGGAAAGAATTTGGTCTTCTATATACCTGTGTTTGAATCTCCCTTCTGCCATTCTTTATTTCTATCACATTGGACAAGTTGCTTTACTTTTCCTCTATCCTGTCTCCTCTTACCCCAAGAACTTTCTCATGAGATTACTGTATGAATTGATCGAGCAGTTACTAGGTGTCATGCATTGTTCTAAGTATATTATGGGGTGTTTTTTTTGCACATAGAAGAACTGGAATGTAGGCCAGAGGTAGGGGGGTGGGGGTGAAGTGGGAGAGAGGACTCACCAGAGACAGAGTGAGGAGCAGAGCAGGCAGATCTACTGAAATACACTGCTGAGGGGAACAGGGGGCGGGACAGGAAAGGTCTGCTACGCCATATGGAGGTTAGCTCCCTGGCAGGGCATCGAACTCAGGGCTGTAGTGGTGATAGCACTGAGACTTAACCCCTAGGCCACCAAGGAGACCCCTATATTATGGGTATGAACTCATTTAATGCTCATAACAGAGAGGCAGGTACTATTATGGGTACTCTCTCTCAGAATCAGAAACTGAGATATGTAAGGTTATTGTTAGCTTGCCTGTGATCACAAACAAGGAAAATAGAGAAACTACATTTGAACCTGGCTCCAGAATCTTGAGCCTGGTTTCTTAGCTACTAAGCTCTTCTATCCTTAATGTGTGAAGAATACCTGGCTCATCACAGACTCTGGAGTGTTTGTTCTGACACAACTTTCTCTGTCTTGCCTTCTTCCCTTACCCCAAGAATCTAGATTTATCCAGATGTGGAGCCTTGGCTCACAATGCAGGGCTTAGGTCTTGTGTTCTTCCACTTGGATTCTTATGTGCTCCTCCATTTCTCTTTAGAGCCCTCATGGTAATAGGCAGGACTCCTGTGCTATCTTACCTGATCTCTGGCACTCCCTCCTTAGGTGGACATCTTCAATAAGGAGCTACTGCTAATTCCCATCCACCTGGAGGTACATTGGTCCCTCATCTCTGTTGATGTGAGGCGACGTACCATCACCTATTTTGACTCGCAGCGTACCCTAAACCGCCGCTGCCCTAAGGTTTGAAAGGGAAAGGGAAAGAGGCAGAATGTGGGGAGGAGATCCAGTTGCAAGACATTCCAGCAGAGGGGTGGGTTTTGGGTCTCAGTGGAGCAACCTGGGCATGGTGTCTGTGACTACCACACCAAGTTCAGTTTGGAAACCTAGGGCACCATTTCTTCCTTTTCTCTATCTTCATTCATAGCATATTGCCAAGTATCTACAGGCAGAGGCAGTGAAAAAAGACCGGCTGGATTTTCACCAGGGCTGGAAAGGTTACTTCAAGATGGTGAGTTACTACAGGGAAGTGTAAGGGCTGGTGGTGAGGTTGGTGGTAGGAGGCAGAAATTAAAGCCAATACCTCTTAGGAGTCTCCAAGTGAAGAACCTACCTTTTTATTTTTCTTATAGAATGTGGCTAGGCAGAATAATGACAGTGATTGTGGTGCCTTTGTGTTGCAGGTAAGCAGATATTTGTTGGGTTAAAGGATTGGGAGGGAGGCGGGAGGCTATTCTGCATCCCTCATTTGGCTCATTGCCACCTGTAGAGCAGGGAGTAACTATGTGTTACAATGCAAAAACTACTTTTATTGATCTGCTTCCTTATCTCACCTTAGGACTGGGTTTGGTCCTTGATATTTGGCCCAGCTATAGCTGCTGCCTGACCCCCAACCCAAAGTAACACTAGGTGTTTCATGTTGTACCAAGTAAAATGCTGACTTTATAGAGTCAGATTTTTTGGAGCCTCAGGCCAAGGGACCTTGGCTCCCCTTGAATGTGAAATGGGGGTGTTGTTTAAAAGATGGAGTGAGATGTAACACATAAGAAATGTGTAGCATAGGTCCTGACTTGGGGGGGATGCTTACTAGGTGGTTCTCATAGCCTGCTTTGTTAACACCCAGTACTGCAAGCACCTGGCCCTGTCTCAGCCATTCAGCTTCACCCAGCAGGACATGCCCAAACTTCGCCGGCAGATCTACAAGGAGCTGTGTCACTGCAAACTCACTGTGTGAGCCTCTTATCCCAGGCCTCAAGCCCATTCGTTAATGGGTAGGGGAATATGGGAGACCCTTTCTTCCCAAGAAACTCCAGTTCCTTTCCTCTCTTGCCTCTGCCCATCCAATTCCCCTTGGTTTTTTCATATTTAAATGTTTGGATTTCTGTATTTTTTTTTTTCTTTGAGAGAATACTTGTTGATTCCTAATGTTCAAGGGGTGGCCATGGAAAAGCCCCATTCCCCCTGTCTGTAGGGGACTATGGTCTTGTGACCTGGATGGGGCAGTCATCCCCCTTCCATGTGCTGGCGGGGGAGGGTGTTTTAAGAAAATCTGTACTTGGGGTGGTGGGCGGGCAATGGGATTACTGCCTGCCAGATCTTCAAACTTTTTTTTATATATATATATATATAAATGCCACGGTCCTGCTCTGGTCAATAAAGGATCCTTTGGAGATACATAGTGGTGGTCTTCCTTAAGGGTCCTCAAACTAGAGTATATGCTCTGTTTTAGGCTTTCTTCCAGCCAGTGCTGTTAAGTACCCTTTTGGGGGTTTTGGAAATACAGGGACCAGCTTTCTATACCTGGCTCAGACAGTGGGTTTTCATCACCCGAAAGAATTTGGGGCCAGGGTTCAGAGGAGGAAAAGATAGATAAGCCTCAAAAAAAAAAAAAAAAGCCTCAGAGAAGTTAAGATTGGGCAACATTTAAGGGAGCCAGACAGATTCATGACAGCAACTGCAAATGCCTCCAGAAGGTCTCTTATTTCAATGCTTCTCCAGCCAGAAGGAACCCTCCTGTCCCCTAGGGTATGGCTCCTGATTCCAACATCTCTGGTACACTTGCAACACACCGGGGTAGTATCCGACCTCTCTTTGCTGCAGTAGAGATCAAAATAAAATGTGGTTGCAGTAGAGACCTGAAGCAGAGGTAAAGGGAACTGGCAGTCCCGGGAGCCCGGAAGTCCCTGGAGACTGAAACCTCGCCCCCTTTGCGTGATAGGACCTATGAGGCCACATGACTAAGACACTATCACCTCCGCACGTGTAGGGGTACAGGGCCCCAAGATGGCTGCCAAGCCTCGAGGCCTGACTCCCGTATGTCACTTCCGCACCGGCGAGAAAGGCGGGCCCTTTAGCCAATGAGGCTGTGGGGCGGGTCTTCACCTTGATAGGCGCTCAAGTTATCCAATGGTGGCAGCGTGCCAGAGCGCTTACGAAGTAACGTCACGCCGAGTTGCTGCGCGCCGGCGGGCGGGGCCGAGGCGGCCAGGCCAATGCGATGGCTGGGGCGGAGTCGGGCGCTCTATAAGTTGTCGATAGGCGGGCACTCCGCCCTAGTTTCTAAGGATCATGTCTGCGAGTCAGGATTCCCGGTAAGAAAGGCATTTGCAAGAGGTTGTGGTTACTTACCCTGTCGCTCCCTTTCGAGAGCCCCGTCGGGGGAAGCTGCGGCTCACCTTTCTAGGCCCACCAGGCCTGCGGGGTAACCGAGGCGAGAGGAACTGTCGTAGGGGGAGGGAGAGGGGAGATCCATGGCCGACGCTCCCATCAGGGCCTAGGCAGAGAGTAAGGACAGCCCGGCTTTCGGGATCCTAGCGTGCGGGGTTCGTTAGGAGGCCTCGATCCAACGCGGTTCCGTGCGCGAAGCCCCGGCGCTGAGCGGCGAGATTACGTCGCGACCTCGCGTGGGAAAGGTAGAGGTGGCCGAAACAGTGCGTGGCCCAGAGCCGGCGGGTCCGGTTGCCTCACTGCCCGAGGGAGGGCTCGTGCGCGCTCGGGATTCCGAAGGATTCTGACGGTACCATTCGCCAAAGTGGGGGGTGCTTAGCCCTCAGATCCAGCCACTTCATCGCGGTGAAATATGGGTCGGGGGAGAAGAAACCGGCCGTTCAATGTGCTGGTTTTCTTGACGGCCAGGACCGAGCCTACCCCCGAGGAGCGGCCGCGTGAGGCACCAGCAGCCCACCCGGCGCCGGGCGGGCGGGTCCATTTTGCCGCACAAGCCGGGCAATTGGCAAACTGCGGATGGGCAGGTCCACTTTCCTTCGGGGGTGAGCGGCCTGAGGTATGGGAGGGCGACGCCATTTCGCGACGGGGGCGGGCGGGATGTGGATTGTTCTATGAAGGTGGGGGAGACGCCGCCGGGTGGTCGAGGGAGAGAGCACATGGCGGCCTGAGGTGTTCCCCTCCCCCAGCCGGCTTGGCTTCTGAGTGTTGTGCAATCTACCCCCTATGCTAGCTCGGCTGGGGCTCATTGTGCGCGAGGCCGCCACCGCCCGCGGCCTCCCACATCCGGGCACCGCGAGGGGGGGAGATCGGCTGGAGGGAGTGGGGGAGGGCGCGGGCGGAATGACGTGGGGGGAAGGGGTTGTCCTACCCTCGGATCTGGGAGAAGGGCGGGACTTCCGGCGCGCTGGGGCTGCTGTGGGAGGTGCACGCGCTTGAGCTTGGAGCGGCCAGGCACGGGACACGTGGGCCGCGCGCGTGGCGAGTACTACATTCCGGTCGCAGCCCCGCTCCTTCCAGCCTTTGGGTCTTCCGTGAGGGTTAGCTGTCAAGGCGGGCGCGGACTGCCCTGTGCCTAACCCAGTTGTAAAGTAACTACTGTGTTCCGGGAAAACTTGTGGGAGCTGGGTCAGGAATGAAGGCTCGTGGTATCATACGAGGTGGGTGGTTGGTAGGAAAAGCTGGACTACAGGATTTCCAAAGTGCTTTAATCGGTGTGCTCATCTTAAATCAACAGATCCAGAGACAATGGCCCTGATGGGATGGAGCCCGAAGGTGTCATCGAGGTGAGACTGGACCCCTACTTACATTGTTTTATCCCTGGGAAAGGCAGTCTCACAGTATCCCTAGGTTTCTGGAGTGTTAGTGACTTAAAATTCAGCTAGAAGTAGAATTTAGTGTTCATTTTTAATGTAGATAGCCTGCATTCCAGCAATTTCCAGGATATCTTAAGTCCTTTGTAGAGGTTTGTTAAATTGTACGCCTGAGGGTATGTCTGAAACAGGTCATTCAGACAATCCTTTTCTCTCTCAAAATCTCCAGCCTCACAATTGACAATTCTACTGGCTGCTTAGAATCATTTGACTTCCCTGGAGGGGGAAATTGTGAACTTAAAGCTTTAGTGTAGACATAAGGTCCGGTTTGCTACAATGCTAGAGCCAAGGCCCACTTGTTTTATCTCTTTGCATCCTGCAGAGTAACTGGAATGAGATTGTTGACAGCTTTGATGACATGAATCTCTCGGAGTCTCTTCTTCGTGGCATCTACGCTTATGGTTTTGAGAAACCCTCTGCCATCCAGCAGCGAGCCATTCTTCCTTGTATCAAGGGTGAGATACTTCATTTCCAGAGCAGATTCTGAACTGTTCCTGTCCTGGGTAGAGCGGCATCTAGTTGGTGGTGCTCTTCGAATATCAGCCAGGGACAAAGCAACTCCTTATTTATTCCAGCTTGGCTTTTGGTCTGTCTATGCTTGGTTCATTCTCTGGACACATGGCATGCTCATTTAAGGTGTTGCTTTAGTTAGCACATGCTTGATTTTTACAGTTAATAATCTGAACTCCTAGATCTATTTTCATCATGTACTATGAGGTAAAGTCTGAAGCATTTAGTGTTTTGCCTGTAGCTTTATTGGTTATCAGTTACATAGCCCAGGGCCTTAAATGCTTTGATTTTAAACTTACATGTATTTTACTATGTTAAATTTTCTCCTAATTCCTAATTTGCTTAGGTTATGATGTGATCGCTCAAGCTCAATCTGGAACTGGGAAAACGGCCACTTTCGCCATATCAATTCTGCAGCAGATTGAATTGGATCTAAAGGCCACCCAGGCCTTGGTGCTAGCACCCACTAGAGAGCTGGCTCAGCAGGTATGTAGCTTTGTTGTTTTCAGGTAATGACATGCAAACAGTTGCAGTAATTCAAAATCCAAAGGGGTGAAGTGTGGGGAAGGAAGAAGGATCTTCAGTACAGAAAATCAGATCTGTGAAGACTAATTATAAGCCCTTTCCCACCCAAACACAGCCTTTCCTGGGTCAACTGGAAAGGCTGCTGGGTGGAACATGGCTCACAAGGCAAGTTTGTTTGGTGGCTGTTACACCAACATACCCCCTGGCAATGGGCAAAGAGACACCTGATTGGTGGTGTTATTCTTATATCATTCAGGGGCAAAGCAGATGCACAGTCCTTTGTTCATCCTAGCTTGATGCCTGGATTGGTGGCCAGAGCTGTTTCATGCCTAGGGCACATGAAATCCTAATGTTTTTATAAACTAAAGTGTTTTCCTTCCTTGGTCTTGGAAGGGGAGAGGATCAGAAACACAGGTTTTATAAGTAAATGTCCCCCTTGAGGTTGAAGATACAGTGATAATTTATGTGCTGATTTCTGGGTGAAGATAGTGTAGCAAATTCTGATAGATCTTCATTTTAGGACCGTAATGTCTGGAACATGCTTTAACAGTGAATGTACTGCCTAGGATAGGTACTGTGGCAGGGATATAAAAAGCAGCCGATATATGTATGTAAAACTTGGTTGCTGTGTGATCAAATAAATGGGTAACAATTACTTTGAGAAGGGGTTGGGGGTGGGGTGGCCTAATGGTAACAAACCATGTTGGAATTATTTTAATGGGCTATAATTGTGAATCTGTATAAGCTGGAACCAGCCTGAGTTCAAGGCCTGAGTGCATTCATCTTTCTCTGGATTCAGATACAGAAGGTGGTCATGGCATTAGGAGATTACATGGGTGCCTCCTGCCATGCTTGTATCGGGGGCACCAATGTCCGTGCTGAGGTGCAAAAGCTGCAGATGGAAGCTCCCCATATCATCGTGGGTACCCCTGGCCGTGTATTTGACATGCTTAACCGGAGATACCTGTGTGAGTACTTCAAATTTGCTTAATTTTAGTCACATTTCTCTTCTGCATGTTTTCCCGGTCATTACACTTGACCATGGATTAACATTCGGTGATGCTAGTTTCCTCTCTGAAAGAGTTGCTCTGTGATGAACCCCATGCGTGTCATCTGAGCCTGGCTCCCTTGTCACAGCCCCAGGTAGTGTTCTACCACCTCGGGCTATTGTCCAGCCTGGCAGGGGGCCCCAGGCAAAGGATCAGTCTTTGTGTTCTGAGAGCAGAGCACTGTTCCCTCCCCCCTTGTTGCCTACACCCCCTTGTTGCGTACATGTCACATCTCCCTAATTACTACCTGTTGATGTCTCTGTCACCTCCCTCCCTGTAGCTCCCAAGTATATCAAGATGTTTGTACTGGATGAAGCTGATGAAATGTTAAGCCGCGGTTTCAAGGACCAGATCTATGACATATTCCAAAAGCTTAATAGCAACACCCAGGTGAGGACATCTCACAGTGTTACCTGTGTGGCTTTACAGGTTTTGTACCTTCCGAGTGTGTGATGTGTGGTTGGGGTAATGTAAGAGCATTGTATTGTTTTGTGTGGTATTTATTGATTCAGGAAACAAACACAAAATTCTGAATAAAATAACTTCGAAACTGCCTGTTTGGGCTTCTCATAATTTAATTCAATTAAAGTAGAACCCTAAAAAAAAAAAAACTGGAGTCTTACCGCAAGCCTTTTTATGTATTGGCTTGTTTCATTTGTGGCTAGGGAAGGTGGCAGGATAATCAGGCAGTACCTCCTACCTTGAGGCTGATTTTTTTTTTTTTTTCTTTAGGTGGTTTTGCTGTCAGCTACAATGCCTTCTGATGTGCTTGAGGTGACCAAAAAGTTCATGAGGGACCCAATTCGGATTCTTGTCAAGAAAGAAGAGCTGACCCTGGAGGGTATCCGCCAATTCTACATCAACGTGGAACGAGAGGTGGGGCCCAGTGCAGGAGGCGGGCCTGGAAGTAAATTGTTGGGTATAGCCCCTGACTGAATTTTTTTTTTTCCTCCCCTACCCCCACCCTAGGAGTGGAAGTTGGACACACTGTGTGACTTGTATGAAACCTTGACCATCACCCAGGCAGTCATCTTCATCAACACTCGGAGGAAGGTTGACTGGCTCACTGAGAAGATGCATGCCCGAGACTTCACTGTCTCTGCCATGGTGAGTACCCCCGCCTTGTTAACAGGCACTGTTTCTGTCTTTCAGAACCCGTGGCACCTGTCCATTTTATGCTCTTCTGTTTCCATCTAGCATGGCGATATGGACCAAAAGGAACGAGATGTAATCATGAGGGAGTTCCGCTCTGGCTCTAGCAGAGTATTGATTACCACTGACCTGTTGGTGAGTAGAGGGGAATTTGGAGAAGCTGGGAAGGAAGCAGGGAGAATCCAAGGTGATTCCCTCTCCAGGGGGCTTATTTAGTGCCCTCAGAAGGAAAGTAGCAACTTGGAATAAAATCTGGCATGCCTGAGGTCTTTGGGGGAGAGGGGATGTTTATTTCCTTTGCCTTCCTTTGGCTGCCTACATGTATATTTTTAAAGTTCCTCCTGGACAGGTTGTATTCCCACTGCATTCAAACACTGAAGCTTGTCCTCTTTCTTGACATAGGCCAGAGGCATCGATGTGCAACAGGTTTCTTTAGTCATCAACTATGACCTTCCCACCAACAGGGAAAATTACATCCACAGGTAACTATATATCAGGAATGTTCACCCAACCCCCTTTTGCCCACATCTTCCAGAGCTGAAGCTTCTGATACTATCCCATTTTACTTAACCCTCACTTATCCTGTCATTTTCCAGAATTGGTCGTGGTGGGCGTTTTGGCCGTAAGGGTGTGGCTATCAATATGGTGACAGAAGAAGACAAGAGGACTCTTCGAGACATCGAGACCTTCTATAACACCTCCATTGAGGAGATGCCTCTTAATGTTGCCGACCTCATCTGAGGGGCTGTCCTGCTACCTAGCCCTAGCCAGGGTTTAGTCCTTGGGGGCTGAGGAGAAGCAGGAGGGGGGAGGGAAGGGAGCCAAGGGATGGACATCTTGTCATTTTTTTTTTCTTTTTTTCTTTGAATAAATGTCACTTTTTGAGGCAAAAGAAGGAACCGTGAACATTTTAGACACCCTTTTCTTTGGGGTAAACTCTTGCCCCAGGCGCCGACTCTTCTCCCAAAAACACTAATCCATTTCCCTAACCTAGTCAACCTCCAAACCCAAGGCTCTCCCCACCCCAGCCAATTTCCTCTGGAAATCAAGGGGCTCTATCACTCAACCTCATTTGCTGGACCAAATCTGGAGGGAGAACCCCTGAGTTAGGTGGCCCAGGGGACTATCCCCAGATGGGGGGGAGCAGGGGAGAAAATGGTAGCCATTTTTACATTGTTTTGTATAGTATTTATTGATTCAGGAAACAAACACAAAATTCTGAATAAAATAACTTGGAAACTGCCTGTTTGGGCTTCTCATTTCTTACCTCTACTTCTCTCCCACCTGATACTGGGTATATCTCTGCTCCCCCCTGCCAGCTAACACTTGCCCTTTTGTGGGGTTCCTTGATATCCTGACCAGAAAATGGTTGTGTAACGGGAAAGCGTGACCCTTATAACAAAGGATTGGGCAATCCCCATCATAAGTTAGCCTCACATGTTTCAGTCAGGAGGAACTGAACTGATTGTTGGGGGGGGAGGTGATGGAAATTTGTTGAATTCTATTTGAATTAATTTTTCTCTGACAACACTGCAACCGCCACCTGGGGGGGCTGCCTTTTCTCAACTGTTTTCATTGTAACTGCAAGTTGCCCTAAGCAAATGGGTTTCCCAAGGATCAAGTGCTTCAAAACTTTCATTCTATCCTCACGTGACAACTCGGACCCAGAGAACTCCCACTCGGTGAAGCCTGGGCCAATCATCTAACAATGACAATGGAATGACTAAGAGATTGGTGGCTGGAGCTGAGGTGTCTGAGTCAGGTTGGGGGTGGGTGGGATTATTTCAATTATAAGAAGTCAAGACTTTCATTTCCTCTTCCAAAAAGAATAGGATTGAGCAGTTGATAACTGACAACCCAGCTGAGCTGGGTGAAGCCCTTCTGCCATGAGGTTAGCTGTGCTTTTCACCGGGGTTTTACTCGGGCTACTAGCAGGTAAGGAGAAAGGGGGGTGTGGGGCTGATGGGAGGGAGCACTTGGGACAGAGCCTGCCTCTCCCGGGTTTGGTAATCAGTTTCTTTTCTCTGCTGAAAGGCCAGGGGACAGGGAATGACTGTCCTCATAAGAAATCAGCCACTCTGCTGCCATCCTTCACGGTGACACCCACAGCAACAGCAAGCACTCGGACAATCAGCCACCGCACTACCAAGAGTCACAGAACCACCACTACACGCACCACCAGCCAGAAACCCACAACGCCCACTCACCATACTACTACCACCAGCCAGAAACCCACAACACCCACTCACCATACTACTACCACCAGCCAGAAACCCACAACACCCACTCACCATACTAATACCACCAGTCATGGAAACATCACAGTTCATCCAACAACGGACAACAGTACTACTACCAGTCCAGGATTCTCCCCGTACACAGGACCACCTCTTCCACCCTCTCCAAGTCCTAGCCCAGGCTCTTCGGCCATAGGAAAATACACATGGTTTAATGGTACCCAGCCATGTGTCCGGCTCCATGCGCAGATTCAGATTCGAATTCTGTACACAACCAAGACTGAAGAAAAGGTAAAGATAAGACAGTGAAGGACAAGAGGGGAAATGGGCGAGTCTACTTCTATGGTTCAGAAAAGAGGAGACAAATACAGGGTGGGGGTGAAAGGAATAGGGAACTTTCAATGGTATGGCTGTGTAGTCTTATGACTTCATTTAACTTCCGCAGGCCTGGGGTATGTCTGTATTGAATCCCAACAAAACTGAGCCCCAGGGGGGTTGTAACAGCACCCACCCCCAATTGCTTCTCTCATTCCCCTATGGCCAGCTCAGCTTTGGATTCAAGCAGGTAACCTCACCCCATCCGTCACCCTCCAAGTACAATGTCCTACCCATGGGCCTCCCCTGGTGGCGCAGCAGTTGAACACTGGGCTGCAAAGCTGCCCGCAGCCTCTGCAGCACCAGTTCGATCCCCCGTCACCAGGTGAGGGTCCCACATGGTGCGCAGACCTCTCCTGCTGCCCGCTGCTCCCCTCAGCAGTGTACTTCGGTCCTTCTGCCTGCTCTGCTCCCCGCTCTGGCTCTGGTGAATTCTCTCACCCTCCCGTGCTTCTGACTGTACCCAGTGCTTGTATAAATGAATAAATAAAATCTTTAAAAACAAACAAATAAAAAGTCTTATCCATCCCTGCCCCACTCCTTCCTCCATTTGGCTGCCACTCTCCCCTGCTGCCCTGAGCCTTCCTGGTCCCCGCCCTAGGACCCAGAGAAAAACACTGTCTACCTGAACTACATGGCTGCGGAGTACAACGTGTCCTTCTCACAGGCAGCAGGTAAGTAAACTTCCATTTCTCATACTTGCATGAATGTCTGGCCTCTGAAAGGTGCGGGGAACCAAAGCTGGGGAATAAGGAGGTGGATATGGATCTGACTCTTCCTCACTCTTTTAGAGTCAACATTCTCAGTTAAGAATTCATCCCTTCAAGATCTTCAAGCTCCCTTGGGCCACAGCTTCCGTTGTGAAAACGCGAGCATCGCTCTTTCACCAACTTTCCACCTCGATCTGCTCTCCCTGAGACTACAAGCTGCTCAGGTGCCCCCAAGAGACTTTGGACCAAGTAAGATTCATTACTCCTGAAAGCTCCTGCCCTAAGCCTATAATCTCCATTCCTATACCCCACAATTTCCTTCCTCTCAGGCTTGTTGTAACTATAAGGTGACTGTCCTCCCCTCTTGGATGACTCTCTGCCCCTTCTCTCCTTTCATTTGCTGCTGAGTCATCTCCGTAAGCTCCTCACCCATATCCTACTTCCCCAAGTGCCCCCATTCCTCCTCTCACCTTTATCCCAGCCACTACCTTTGGATGCCTACTTGCCCTGTCTTTCTGCCAGGTGTCTTTTGTACCAGCAACCATTCCATCCTGCTGCCTCTCATCATTGGCCTGATCCTCCTTGGCCTCCTCACCCTGGTGCTGGTTACCTTCTGCATCATCCAGAGACGCCCACCCTCCTACCAGGCCCTCTGAGCATATGCCTCAATACCCTGGGCACCACTCATCTGATTCAGAGACAAAGTTTATCTTCTCTGTGTCTTGAAAAACAAAAGTTGTGATAATGTAATTGAGAGGGATGAGGGGGGAGTTTTATTAAATGCCACAGATCCCCATCTTTCCTCCCCCATTGGGAGTAGTAAAACCTGCTCGACCTTTGTCCTCTGTTTCCCACGTCCTTCCTGTCTGGAATAAAAGTATCTTTTCCCATGCCTTTCTGTGCCTTCCATGGCTGCTTCTCAGGAAGCCAAAAAGCTGGTGATGAGGAAAGAAAATGTCAACTGTGACTGCATGCCTACATGGGTTCATCTCCCGAAGCCTGGAACTCCCTTCCTAACCCTCACAGACAATTACAGGTGAAGCAGGCAGCAGAAGCAATGAGTGTGGGTGGGGAGATCACCTGGGTGTCATTTTATTTCTACAGGTGTGCTAGTGGCTCCTTAGCACAGCTTAGTCCTGGTTAGCTGGCCTCACTGCACCTTGAGATGCTTCACACCTTCAAGGGGTCTCAGCAGCCATGGGAGGGAGCAGTGGGGTCCTCTGACCTCTACCAACAATTACCCTCTGCTTGGAGACCAGGAGCAGCATACCTGCAGCCTTTGCCCAGATTCTAGAAAGGGCCTCCCCTCCCAGACAGAAATGGTCTGCACAGAATTGTCAGTGGCCCCTTCAAGGAAGCTGAAACCCAACCACCCAGAGCCTGCCTAGGGAGGGATGTTCCAGTCACAGGCCTCCCGTAAGGCTACAGAAAGCACCAACCAGACCTGGAGATCTGCCCACTGAGGCAGCCTGCACCTGGCAGGGTCCCAGACACCTCACCACCTTGCTGACATCTCATATGACCTTGCAGACTGAATCAAGAGTTGCCAAAAGGCTACTCAACAGTCTGGCACTCACAGGATGCACCTGGGCCTTCTCCACTGGAATGGCCATGAGTTGGTGCTGCAATAGGGTGGTCCCCAGGAAAGGGGGAGTTTCCCTGCCCCACCCAAGGGAGGGTGGAGCTGAGCAGGAAGAGGAGAAGCTGGAGAAGAGACTGAGGAAGGAAGGAAGCAGGATGGAGCAAGGAGACCTGGAGGAGGCGCATGGAGCCTAGAGACACGTGAAGAAACTGCGCTTGTCTTTTGGTCGTGGACTGGGTGACACAGATGTGGGTGAGACCTGTGGGGAGGTGGCAATGGCAGCTTTTATCTTGATGTTGATTTTGTTCTTTTCCTTCCGGGCTTGTCCGGTTGTTTGTGACCCTTTTCTGTGGGTCCCCACGGAAGATGCTTTAGACTTGTGGCAGGCTTTGGGGCCTTGCTCTGGGCCGACCCCATATGAATGGAGTTTTACCCACAAGGGGATGGGTAACTTTGGGTGCTTCATTCAGAAATTAGACTCTTTGCCTCACCTGTATTGTTTCCTAGTTTTTATTAAAAATCCTTCCCATTAAAGTGTCATATGTTTTGTGTTAATGCGGCGGATGGCAGAACCCATGTAGAATAGGCAGGTTTGCGGGGTTTGGGCTGCCCCTCTCCCTGTCCTATAACAGTGCCACAAGGCTGAGTGGCAGAGGGCATCATTCCCGCCGGCCCACCTGGCCTTAAGTCCTTAATCAGCACGTGTACATGGTCACAGAACACGGAGGAGCAGGCCTCAGCCCACAGGTGGAAAAGAACACCTGCTTCTCGCTGTAAGCTCCCTACCAGTGATTTACCGAGGCTGCCAGGTCTATGGGAGTCTGCCGTCCATCACCTCCTCTTCTGCTTCACTGCCCTGGCCCAGCAGTTGCTTGGCACCATCCTCTAAGGCCTAGGTGAACCAGAGGAGAGGCCGCAGCTCAGAGCCTATGGAGGGCTGCCTGGCTCAGACTGTTCTGTCTTGGCCGGCACCGTTAAGACAGAACAAAAACAGACAGCGTCCCCACCCAACGCCATTTTGGTGACTCACGCTCCTTCCCCCTCGACTTCTAACAGTGTATAAAGTTGGCTGGGAGAAGACAAGATGGCGCCCAGCAAGAGGGGGGTTGAAAAGCGGGAGAATAAATCTGTTTCCCCACTGAAGTGTAAACAAAGACGCGAAAGATGGAACTGCGCAGGCGTTTGGCTTTGGCTCGCTTTAGAATTCGAACAGCGTCCACAACAAGGTGTCTAGACGAGAGCTATTTCACGCTGCCGAAGGTGGGGTGGCGTGAGAGCGGGAACGGGGCGGTGTCGTTCACTCGCGGGAAAACAGAAGAGGCGGGGTGTCCAGAGCGCGCATGCGCACCGTAAGTGAATGGCGGTCTGGAGAGACTGGCGGAAGCCAGCTTCGCAACATGGCGGCCGAACCAGACGGTCCGCTCAAACGGGTGTTGGTGCCGATTCTTTTACCTGAGAAATGCTACGATCAAATTTTCGTCCAGTGGGACTTGCTTCACGGTGAGTTTTATTCGGCATCCGATTAGAGTTCTGCTCGAGCGACGCTGACCCATAGCGGGGTGTGACTGCGGCCTACGTGCCGGCAGGAACTACTGCCACGCCGTACTGGGCGGAAGTCACTTCTAAGAGGGGCGGAAGTGCCCCATATTTGGGCGAGCGGGGGAGTCGCCAGGTGGAAGTACTTCATGAAGTTTATGCTTTAGCGGCGGTGAAAGACAAAAAGACTCAGATTTTACAAAACAAAGTAAAAATATGATAAAATCACCCTAAGCTATAATCTCTGAACCTTAAGGGGCAAGGTTAAACTCACGAAGCAGGACTTTCAGTGGCACCCCCAAAAGCATCTGTCATCCTCCTAGCTTTCCTTCCAGCCTCCAAGTTTAATCAATTTATAATAACTTGCCTTCCTTTCACTTTATCACCTACCAGGCAATTCCAGTCAAGCTTACTTCAGATATCAGATACTTTGGGAAGCCTTCCCTGTCTTCCCTTCTCAGTTCATGGTATCCTACTATGCCTTTTTTTTTTTTTTTTTTTTTTTTTTTTTTTTTTTTAAGATTTTATGCTCTTGAGACTTAGTTGCGTTTGTGATCCGTGAGAATGTCAGGTCAAGTTTCTTGGGGAAATACTTAAAAGCTGAGTAAGATGTGGGTGACTAGGGCATAAAAGCAAGCCCTACAGGAATAGGATTGAGTCCCTAAATGGGGTGAGGGAGAAATGCTAGGCACAGAGTGCTCAGGAATATGATAAGGAGACAGAAGACAAAAGATGGATCTGAGTTGCTCAGGAGGGGAATAAAAATTGGAGGGCATTACTAAGATATATAGTTAAGTCCTCAATGTCATGGATAGGTTCTTTTAAAAAAAAAAAAATTATGCACACAAGAACTCGGATGTAGGCCAGAAGTGCGGGGAATGAGAGGATTCACCAGAGACAGAGTGGGAAGCAGAACAGGCAGATCTACTGAAATACACTGCTGAGGAGAGCAGCGGTTGAGACAGGAGAGGTCTGCTGTGCTATGTGGGTCACATCCCTGTCTGCAGTGGATCAAACTCAGCTGCAGTGGCTGGCGATTGTTTGCTAGTGCTGAGACTTAACTCCTTGCGCCACAGAGAGGCCCCAATTTTTTTTTTTTTTAAAGATTTTATTTTTTTGTGTAGAACTGGGGTGCAGGCCAGAGGTGCTGGGGGTGAGAGGAATCACCAAAGATGGAATGGAGAGCAGAACAGGCAGATCCATTGAAATACACCACTGAGGGGAGCTGCGGGCAAGACAGGAGAGGCCTGCTGCTCCATGTGGGTCAGCTCCCTGGCCGGGGATGGAACTCAGGCCCTAGTGGTGATAGTGCTGAGACATAACCCCTAGGCCATCAGGAAAGCCCTCATGGACAGGTTCATGAAAACTGATTTAGTAAAACAACTTAGAGCTAAAGCAGGTCCTAGAATAACATTGTTTTGCTTAAGGTTAGCCAGGATTATTTTTCTCATCAACATAAAATGTTAAAGACTTGCTATAGAGAGAAGCATTGGAGTCTTGGAATTCAGACCAAATTTAGATGTAATCTGCAGGGAATAGAAGATTGGGTGGAAGGGAAAGAATGATAAAAACTGTTTCAGAAAGTTGAACATGATATGATTTGGTCTGAACATAATATGATTTGGGGTTGGAAGTATCAGGCCTTTTTCATCTGCCTCAAGACAAGACAAGGCTTCTTGTGTGGGTGTGTCAGGGTTTCAGGAGCAGTGACAACCCACAGGAGCCTGAAGGCTGGAGCTGCTTCCTGAAAGCCCTGGTCTGGTGGCTCCAGAGATCTCATCTCTGTTCACCCTTTTCTTTTCTCAGTCCCCTGCCTCAAGATTCTCCTCAGCAAAGGCCTGGGGTTGGGCATTGTGGCTGGGTCGCTTCTGGGTATGTATCAACTCTTCCTTCCCTGTCATTGTGATGGGTGTGGAGTGCTAACATGCCGTAGGCTGGATGGGCCCCTTAATGAGAAGTGGAGTCAACATGCTTCTCAGTCCACCCTGTAGCTGGTGGGCACCCAAGGAATGGCACCTCCTTAGCCTTGCTGTTTTCATCTTTTCTCCAGTAAAGCTGCCTCAGGTGTTTAAAATACTGGGTGCCAAGAGTGCTGAAGGACTGAGTCTCCAGTCGGTAATGTTGGAGCTAATGGCATTGACTGGGACCATCGTTTACAGCATCACCAACAACTTCCCCTTCAGGTGAGGCACCTGCCTGCAACTCTAGTGGGGGTTAGGATGAGGGAGGTAAAAGGGCAAGAAAGAGTTAGCTCTTCTGGAAATATACTGATTATCTATGGAGGTGAGAAAAGGCAAGCATCCCAAGAATGCCCAGGATCTAGAGTGAGTCTGTTGGAGATGGGCATGGCTGGGAGGCAGGAGGTAAGGACCTAGTAGGTCTGTGAAGGGCAAGGAATGAGAGAATCGTCCCCGAGAATGACTGGCTGCAGAGGCCTTTTCAGGCTGCCTTTCTTCCTCCCAACTCTTGACTCTGCAGCTCTTGGGGTGAAGCCCTGTTCCTGATGTTCCAGACAGTCACAATCTGCTACCTGGTTCTGCACTACCGAGGAGAGGCTGTGAAAGGTGCTGGGGATTTACCCAAGAGCAAACTGCTGCTCCCAGGGACCTTGCTGGGAACTCAGGCCTGGGAAAACCAGAAGCCACCAGAGATTGATGAGGACTCCTTATTTCCCTGACCACAGGTGTCGCTTTCCTAGCCTGCTACGCCCTGGTCCTGCTGGTGCTGCTCTCGCCACTGACGCCCCTGGCTGTAGTCACCCTGCTCCAGGCCTCCAACGTGCCTGCCGTGGTGGTGGGGAGGGTGGGTATCGGGAGAAGGAAAGGGTGGCAGGTGGGGGGGACCTGGTGAAGGACAGCCGAAGCCTAGAGTGTGGGGCAGTTGGGCCAAAGGGAATGGAAAATCTGTGATGGAAACATGGGATGAGTTCAGGTGAGTATCAACTCCTTCCCTAGCTGCTCCAGGCAGCCACCAACTACCGCAACGGACACACTGGCCAGCTCTCAGCCATCACAGTCTTTCTGGTCTTTGGCGGCTCGCTGGCCCGAATCTTCACCTCTATACAGGTGAGTACACCTACTACTCACCTCTAGAGGGCACTAGAACCTCACCTGACCCTCCATCTGAGGCTTAAAGCGGCCGCCTCCCTGGAACTTCATGGGCTTTGCTCAAGAGTGACCCTACCTCTTTTGTACCCAGGAAACTGGAGACCCCCTCATGGCTGGAACCTTTGTGGTCTCTTCCTTATGCAATGGTCTCATCACTGCCCAGCTCCTCTTCTACTGGAATGCAAAGGTTCCCCCAAAGAAGAAAAAGCAGCAGTAGGGCTAAAGCAGCTACTGGAGTGCATTCCGTGTTCCTGTTCAGCCACCCAACCTCAGGGTCCCTCCCGTCTGCACCAGTCATCTGGTGTGATTCCACAGTCCTCTGCAGTTCTAACTTTTTGAGCCAGAATTTCCAGTGGAAATGCAGAGTTAGTGAACCCAGAACCTTAGAAAGGATAGGGGTAGGTTTTCAAATTAACACTAGACGTTTATTGTGTGCTGTTTTGTGCATGTGCTGTTAAGTTGTAATAATCTGGCTAAGACTCCTCCTTTATAAGCAATTTCCAGATACTTACCTATTCTGGGAAAATGCCTTGCCCTGTCCTGCCACCTTCCCACAGGCCCTAGGACAGCCTGAGCAGTGGAAAAGTCTGTTTATGGGTTTGTGCCTCCCCCCTCCCCCACCAGGCCGTCTTGGACCCCAGTGCTAGGTGGGTAGTGGGGAAAGGGGGGCTGTGAATGACTCAAGCAGGGCCCCAGGGTGGGGTGAGGAGGTTCGTGCTCTGGCAGGTCCAGGCGGAAGGGAGTGGAGCCAGAGCTGGTTCCTGCTGCGTTGAAGGGGAACAGAGATGGGGCAATAAAGACTCAGAGACATGGTTAAATCGTATAAAACTGTGTTCATCCTACAAAAAATGTGTTGTGTTGCTCCCCCCAGCCTTCTTTGAGAACTACAGTCCCGTCTCAGGGCCCCCCTCCCCTCCACTGTGATCCAACAGCTCTCAAGAATGGTTTGCAGCCTAGGAGTGGGGTGCTTCTGGGTGGAAAAGGAAGGAACCCTTTCTGGGTGGTCCATGTCCACGAAGGTTAGAGGTGGGTTAGGGGCATGGGGGCACCTGAGAGGGGAGGGGTGTACTGGGTGGGAGAGCCTGGGGGTAGGTAGGGGCTATAGGGGGTAAGTAGCTCCCCCGGGAGCCTGGGGTTATTCTGAGGAAAGGAACACGGTGAGGGTGTGTCGGGTTTACAGCGGGAAGAGCTGCAAAGAAAGAAACAATACATTAGGGGGCATTTCCCTTGGTGGGATATGCCAGGCAGGGCCCCCAACTTGCATGCGGGAACGGTCTGACTAATTCTAGGCACAGAGGAAGAACTTGTCAGCCACCTGGCCATCCCTGGCTACCTAGGTCCCACTGGGTACAGCAGGCCCGGAACTAGACCCTAGGAAGGCTTAGCAGCATGGCCTTGTTGGGGCACGCTCGAGAGCTTGCGTGCTGCGCGCCTGTTTTCCTCCTCTGAGGCAGTAGGCCAGAAAGAAGCAGAGTTGGGCTTGGCCTCTGCTTGCCCCAGGGGTTGGGAGAGGGAGCCAGGTCACAATCGGGCCAGAAGCAGGGGAAACTCGAGCTCCAGGTAACCAGAACATGCTCGCATCCAGGGGACTGTGGTCTGACCCTGTAAGGCCGCTACTGCTAGACTGAGATGGAAGCATCCTCTAGGAAAACCCTGGGTCACAGGAACGCTCCCACCCCAAAGCTCAGTTGCAGCCCAGAAACTCCTCCCGGGTAAGTGACCAATGCTTGGGTGGGCTCAGACCCCCTCCAACCCGGTCCTCTGGTATCCACCCCCACCCAGGAAGGGGCTCAAGCAGTCTTCCTGTCCCCACTCCCAGGCACTCACCCGTAACTGCCAGGCAGGTAGGCTGTGGGGTAGTTCGGGGGTTGATATCCAAAGCCTCTGCTCCCTTGGGTGGTAGGGTACCCGGGTCCCCAGACCCGCCCACCTCCAGCCACGCCGCCGCTTCCCTGACCAAAGTGGGGCGGTCCAGTGCCCGAGCTCTTGGTCTTGCGCCGCGGCCGGTACTTGTAGTCGGGGTAGTCGCGCAGGTGTCGTGCCCGGAGCCGCTTAGCCTCTTCCACGAAGGGCCGCTTCTCGTCCTCGCCCAGCAGCTTCCACTGCGCGCCCAGGCGCTTGGAGATCTCGGAGTTGTGCATCTTTGGGTTCTGCTGCGCCATCTGGCGGCGCTGAGCGGAGCTCCACACCATGAACGCGTTCATGGGTCGCTTCACCTTCTCCAAGGGAAGCCCCCCGGATACCCTCGGGCTCCGCGCGCCCTCCCGCTCTTGGGAGCCCGAAGACGAGGCAGAGGCCGTGGGAGCCGGAGGTTCCAGGTTCCAGCCCTGGTCCTGTGAAGAGCCGGATAGCGCCATGGGGGGAGGGTTGGAGAGAAGTCTTAAGAGGGCGACCTACACGCCCTCCCCTCCAAAATGAGAAGTTGATCCCCAAACCTGGTATCCTTAAATAGAAGTGTCTTCCCAGTCTGGGGTCGTTCTGTAGAAATTCGTGTCCTTAAAAGGTATTATAGCGCCCACAAGTTCAGAGTCCTTAGAGCGGAGCCCCTGCTCCCAATCAATCCTGCGCGCTCTGGAGAGAGTAGAGCGCAAAATCTGCTGTGTGGTGCCCGGCACCCAACAGGTCGTGCTCTCCTTTCTTGTTGCTGGGAGGTCCCCACCCGGTCCCGCTGCGAGGCCACCAGCCCACCTTGGGTGGCGAGGTAACCCTTCGCTCTGGGTCTCTGGAGTCCCGAAGGCGCCGGTAGGCACAGCCCAAGTGCCACCGCCTCTCACCTGGCCTCTGTGGCTGGCGGGTGGGCCAAACACGGAACAGCTTTTAACGACTGACTCCTCCCCACTCCGTCCTAGAAGACCGCGCCTCCTAAAGGGCGCCAACATCCCCCTCCCTTAGGCAAACCCAGGTGTCCTGTTCTTCCCAGCCCCCAACACTTCCCCCTCAGGGTACCACGCCCACTCCCCCACCCAAGACCCAGATTTCGGGCCTTCCAGCCCCCGTGGCTAGAATCGTCTTCCCCTCCCTTCTTAAGCACTTGGCAATTTAAGTCAATTCCTTTGCACAAAGGGACCAAGCACGGGAACATCAAAAGCCCTCAGGGTCAGAGTTGTGCTAAAAGGAATTTGGGACCAGCCCACCACCACTTCCCCTCCCCACACACACACACACATTGAACCCTTTTCTAGCACCTATAGCTCCTCAAACCCCTGACCTGCCTCTGGGGCAAGAAAGGCGGGCAGAGGTAGGCCATTTTTGTTTCCTGAGTCATCCCAGCAGGTGCTCCAGTGATTCAACCCCTCCCCAGGTGAGAAAACTTAGTCCTCCCAACTCAGTCCCCAAACCTGGGTTTCTCCAGCCATTCAATTATGTTGTTTTGTCTCCATACCTCAGGGAGGCAGGAATCCCAGGACAATTCCCAGGGCTAGGGATGAGAGGTCAGTGATGTGGATGCTGGTGGAAAAGCCTGGATCCAGAGAAACCGTAGGAATGAGGGCTGGACACCTGGGTCCCAAAGGCTGCCGTGAAGGAACCCTGCTCCCAACTCAGCCCAGGGCCCAGCCCAAGCCGTAGGCCTCGGTAATCGGATTAAGCAGCCTGCCTTGGCTCAGCCCTCAGCCTGCTCCAGCTCTAAGCAGCCCTACCTAGCCCTTGCCGTGACTCAGGGTGTAGGAGTGGCCCAGCTCCCTCTACCTGCAATCCTGGGGGAGGGGAAAAGCCAGTCTTTGGGATCAGGAGGGTACCTGGGCCTGGGGAATTTAGGAATGTCAGGAATTCCCAGAAGTAGACCATCTTTGGAGCACTAGAGAAGCCAGGTGTGGTCAAACAGGAAACAAGGGCCAGAGGCCAGTCCTAGAGAAACAGATGGACCAAGCTGGGCACAAGGAAAGCACAGGAACCAGAAAGCCATTTGGATTTTTTTATTCTCTTTTTAAATACTGTACAGTGAAAAATAAATACGCCTTCTCATCCACCAGACAAGGTTGGTCCCCCCCTCCCTGGGGGACCTTGTCACCCCCCTTCGTACATACCCCTGGTTCTACTCCAAAACCTTCCCCATGCCTCCCACCCACGTATACCCTTACTATCCCCGTCTTCCACAGTGATGAGGCCCCAGAAATGGGGGGTACAGGATGGGAGGAGGGATAGCAGGGGAGCCCCCCTGAACTGTCAAATCTGGGTGGGTCAAGGAGCACCCCCCACCAACAGGTGGAGAATGGGGGTGTTCAGAGAGATTGGGGCATTAGAGGATAAAGGCACATCCAGTCTGATGGGGGAAGGAGAGAGGCTCCCCTCACCCTGGGGGTAGGGTGGACAAGAGGGGGGGTATGACCCTGTTACACACCCCTCCACTAGCTCCTGGAGGTTGGGGGGGACCCAAGCTGCTGTGCCACCCCCCTCCCCCCTAGATAAGAGCAGCTCCAGCGCAGGTCAGTCAGGCCTGTGAGGGCCATGGTGTTGGGCAGCAAGCGAGATGGAGAAGGGAGGGATGTGGGCTGGAGGTTTTATGAAACCCCATTCACCAAACTACCCAACTCCAAGGGGGCGGAAAGCTCCCCGTTCTCTGAGGGGCCCTTAGGAAGCTTGCTGACAGAGTCACCCTGAGGGGGAAGCAGGAAACAAAATGAAGAAAATCATGTGGTCAGTAGAAATTCAGTTAATGACATTCCCTACCACCCGCCCCCTCCGGGTACCTAGTGCCCCCAGGGCTTCGTCCCCAGATCTGACTCTAGTCATTCTCACTGGGACACAGAAAACATGAACCAGACTTTCCTCTTTCCTATTCAAACTTTCAGTGCAAAGTTTTAAATAAATTTCAAATTCCATCAGACCTACACAGCTTTCCCTGCAATGCAACAAAATACTTCTTTGGGAATTTTCTTGTGCCCCCCATTCCAGAACAAAAAAACGTGAGGCAAACTACATCTTGCCTGCCTACCTTCTGTCCTGAAAGAGAGTCTTCTGAGGGTTTACTGCATTCCAGGGGTGGCCGCTGGCGGCTTTGAGACTCTGCTCGGGAGATATAGTCAGCCACAGTCACTGGGGGGAGGCAGAAGAGCAAGAGTTTCAGAAGGAACCCAGGTATCCAGCCCCTAGACACCCGCCAAATCCTAACCGCTACGTTCCACAGGGTAGGAAGCACTGCATTCTCTGAGATCTGAGGAAGACTCTGGCATCCAGCTGACCTGGCTGTCGATCTCCACTGATAGAACCATCAGTCCGGTTACCGCGGTTGCGGCGACGGCGGCTCCGATTACGGCGCTGGGGTCTTGACTCATCTTCTGTGAGGCAGGGAAAGGAGAGTCACACATCCGATCTCCCATATTTCAATTCTTCCCCAGTTCTAATTTTTTTAGACCCCAGGCGCACACCTTACCTAGGCCATTCTCTGTCATGCTGGGCCCATCAGACTCTAGGCCTCCATCCATGACAGTCCTATCTTCATCAGTGCGGCGGCGGCGGGAGCGGCGGCGCCTGGCACTTGCTGGTGGGGGTTCCCCTGGCTCTGAATCAACTGGGGGCTCTGGTTCAGATGTGTCCAGTAGACTGTAGGGGTTACTGTCTGGATCCTTCAGCACTAGAGAAAGAGAAACAGCAAGTCAGGAGTCCATCATCTTTCATTCTAGTCCACATTTATGAACCTAGCTCTCTGTACTGGTACCTGAGCTAATAGATGAAGAGTTATATCTTGACACAGGCCGGGTGGCAGGTGGGGGTCCCCTACCCCGGCCGCCAATTGGCCGCCTCCGGCTTTCTTCCCCACGGGTTGGGGGATCCCGGTCACCCAGCCCAGCTCGGTTGGACTCCTCCCTCTTCTCTGACTCTGTTTCAGAAGCTGTGGATGGGTCAGAGCTGGGGCCTAAAGGACACAGTGGAGGGTTAATCAAGATAAGTTACCCCACCCCAGCATCCATTATAGCAACTAAACTGGAGACTTCTCCATCTCACTCACAAGTCCCCCCAGTTAATCACCTATTACCATCACCCTTTCTGCAAGCTACCACCAAGACCTCTGACTCTTCCCATAAGCCTCCCTCTCCCATGGTTGTCTCACCATAGGTAGGAGCGCCTGTCCGCCGGCCCCGGCCCCGGCCCCCATAGCTGCCCCCATAGGTTCGGGTGGTGTGGAGGGAGGATGAGGAGCTCTCATCAGTGGTATATCCGGCCTTATCACTGCTACCGCTGCCCCGCCCACTCCCAGGAGGGCGGAAGCCCAGCCCAATCTGCCGAAGCTGTTCATCAATTTGCAGCCTCTCCAGGCGAAGCTGCTCCACCTCCTGGTTGGGTAGAAGATGGAAGAAGATAGAAAAGGGTAACAAATATAAGATCACGCTTCTCTGTCCTGAACATCCCTACACATCTAAACTCTCAGGAATTCGAGGAAGACAATGGCTAAATAAGGAAAACTCTGAGATCCGACCCCATAGCCTCAAACTTGTACCCAATGGTCCCTATTCTATTCAAGAGACACAAACTGAGTACACAAACTATCCATCGATTTTCCCGTGCAACACCCAAATCTGCCCCCTCCATCACCCCTGGGCTACCTGGAGATAGGAGAGGTGATATTCCAGCAGAGCCTGAGCATTGCTGATATTCTCTCGGGTGCCAACAAATATGAAGGGAACCATTCCCTGGAGAGCAAAGAGAAGGAAAGATGAATCAGGAAGAGTACAACGGAAATAGTAATCGCATCCTATATCCTAGAGAAGCCCACCCCACTGGGATCTTTCTGACTGAACATCTACTAAGGAGAAACCAAAGTTCCCATGGTCCACCCCCTAGAAATTCCAGCCCTCAGAGAATAATCCCACCTATTTCTGGAAACCAATCTCTAGGCTAGTTGCCCCATACCTCCTCCCTGGGATTCTTCTTGTCATTGTCACCTTCTACTCGAACCCTCACCACACCAGATTTATCCACAATCTCCTGGATCACTTTCCCATTCTTCCCAATCACTTTGCCTAAAAGGGAAAAGAAGAAATTAGGCCTTTTTAAAAAAAAAAAAAGAAAGAAATAAGAGTTAAAACACAAGATAAAACTATTTTCCAACTTCTATATGTGGATTCTGTTTAATTCATTCTCCTGCTAGTAGGTTTTGGTGAATTTTCACAAGACAAAATAGTAAAGTCACTAGAAATTTGTTCTTCCATTTTTCTCACTCGTGCTGTAGACTACATTTGTTTTATCCCTGTGAAACTGAAAGTCCTTGGAGGTGTGAAGTCCAGAATTACTTTAGAGAATCTCACATCTGGCCTCCAATTGTAGTCTTTCATACATACACACCTCACCCCCAACTCACCAACCAGGTTCCTGGGCACTTGCACAGAGTCCTCAGAAAACTCCAAGTAGCTTCTGGCCTGGCGGCATGCTTCAGGAGTCTAAGGAAAGGGGAATGGGGAGTCATCACTAAAGCAGAGGACATAGATTTTAAACAACGATATGCCTGCTACTGCTTTTAGAAAAATGTGCTGCCATCAAAGTCAGGGAGAGGAGGTCACCATGATGCAGGATTCCTTCCTATTTCACCCTCTCCTCTATATCTTTTTCATATTTTAAGATTTATTTACTTATTCATAGAAGAACTGGGGTGTAGGCCAGAGGTGTGGGGGTGCTCCCCACCAGAGTGGGGAACAGAACAGGTGAATCTCCTAAAATACACTGCTGAGGGGAGCAGTGGGTGAGACAGGAGAAGTCTGCTCCATTGGTGGTTTAGCTCCTTGGCCCGGGATCAAACTCAGACTATCACGGTGATAGAACTGGGGCTTAACCCCTAGGCCACCGGGGAGGCCTTTTCTTCTGTATCTTGAGGGACCCAAATAAAAGTTATCTTTTGCTGACCTCCCCATAGATGCGGAAAGTGCAGGTCTCTTCACCCA